CAGGCACTGACCTTTCTTCGGAAGGATTCTACTTTTAAATCCAATAGTCTAGCTTCTTAACATGGATGTGTGTGTGTACGTGTGTGTGTGTGATACACACACAGAGAAAAGCATGCATTTATGTATATAATTACATAATATATATCACTAGTTTCCTTTAAATTAATTTAGTACTACTTGTACACACATACATATAAAAGTATACATTTATGTATATAACTATATACTATACATCACTAGTTTCCTTTAAATTAATTTACTACTACATATATATAGCCACAAACAAAATTCTAAGTATAACAGAACTAAAAGTATAGACAGTAAACCCTATTCATCTATAGGAATTTATTTGGGGATGATAGGATAAAAGAAAAACATGTTTAAAAATTGGAAACAAAGTTCCTGTTATATCATTATTCTAACATAAAAATATTATAAACATTTGTATTATGTACTAATTGCTATTTAAGATATAAATTTGTACATTTTTCACATATTTCATATGCTTTAGTCAGTGACCAAAATTTACTGACAACCAAAAGCAAAAGCAACTTTCTCAAACACAAAATATTCCAGGCCCCTGAAATATGATTTTTTTTAAATGAAGATAAAGTTTTCAGCTACAAGACTATCAACTGGCTAAGGCTGAATTTGAGTTTCATCAGAAGCTCATCCTTTAAATAGTGTATGATGAATTCTAACCGGCTTTTTTCTGAACATCTTTCCTGTGTCTCAACTTCTCTACCGAGTTCTTAGTCCTCATACGACACATATGTCCCAGAAAGAACTCGAAACCAAGTTATTATAAGTTCATTAACCTTTTCACCCCTCTCCAAATACCCAGCAGAGGGACAAGCAAACAAACCAACAAATAACTCCATGCCAAAGTCCATGCCAAAGCAAACTCCTAACAACAATCATCTTCACTGAATACTGGCAAAGCAATTCTGGATTAAAGCTTCCAGCATCCATCCTATAAACCCCACGTAACACGAGAGCTGTGTACAATGGAAGACACTCAAGGAGATGCCTGCCTGGTGACATCGCAGTTGCACTCTGGGAGATCTGCATCTGCACAGCCGTCCTCTGCCATCCTCCGGGCGCGCAAGTCCTCCGCCACCACCATGAAGCTTCCACTTCAAAAAGTTAGTTTCTGTAGGGCAAAAAACTAAATCCTGCGTGGGGAGGCAAGTCACCCGTGTCTGCATGCAGAAGTGTGGAAACGCTCATGCTAGACAAATGTTGGTAGTCTGTGTCTGATAATATGACACTGAGCAGGGACAAGTGGTCATGTTTCTAAATAAAACCTACATTCATTAACATGTGCCAGGCTTGATCTCCCGGAATGTAGGCCACGAGGGTAAGAAGGGGAAAAAGCTCAGTGTAATCTGTGAAGAGGAGGAGGAGGAGGAGGAGGCTACAGGTCTAAAGAAAGGATATCAAAAATAAAGCTGGCTGCAGGACAGTCAACTTTTCTTGAGGGCTGTTTGCTAACAGCCTCAAGTGCAAACCAAAAACCATAACCTCCCCAACTGCAGCAGATTGTAGTTTCAAAAAGGAACAACTTCTCTTTGGTGTAATATGCCAGCTCACTGGTTTAAGTAGGAGTTTTAAGAGGTTGGTTTTTTTTTTTTTGTTTTTTTTTTTTTTTTTTTGTGGGGAGGAAGTAGGAAAGAGAAGATATTCTATAGGAAAGTGGTGTGTATCTTTCAACAGAGAACAAAAATTAATGAAGAAATATTACTGTCATCTTCATATATTAAAAACTTGTTGCTTTAAAAATTATTAATGGTGACAAAAATAAAATGTTCATTTAAGATAATTTTTATAATTAATCTATTATAACTATCATTTTCTTTTAGAAACTTCAAAGAGTTCCCAAATTATCTGCACTACACATAAAAAATTATGAAAATGCATATAGTAGGTTATCTTCTGTTTTAATGTAAACTAAAGTGGGAAGAGTCATGAATGGGATTGAATCATGGAAACTTAATATCTCAGCCAGCATTTCACAGCTGACGACAGGTGTGGTAGATGGTGGGAAATGTTCACCCAGTTTGTGCGCTAAGGAAGCACTGATAAACAGGGGAAGGAAAACAAATGTGATGGCTGAGTGTCTCTGGGGAGAAGCCAAAGGCAGACTGTGAATCTAATGTGGCATTTAATTCCAAGGCAAATTAATGATCTTTGTGGCTTGTAGTCTAAAGTTGAAAGAAACACAAATGCCTACATTCAAGGAATGATTATCTGTATGTTGTAAGTCTCTACACAAGGAGAAACATTTGTGTACCTCATAAATATAATCAAGTGCATTAATGTATCTTTCTGGAAAGCAAACTAACATCAAAAATCCTTACCTAAACAGTCCAACAAAAATGTTTCATAGCAACATGATCCTAATGAGAAAATACCACACTCCCATAAAATGTTGGCTAATAGCTGGGCACACCCTAGGCTAGCTGCTTAGGACTAAATTATATTAATTTAAAATATCTTTGACCCACTGCATACCCATTCTTCACATCATTGAGGGACTCAGAATGTGGAAAGAATATTAGCAGCTTGACTGGATTACATGGAAATAACAAGTCTACCCGTGAGTCAGATTCTGACTGAAAAAATCCCACGGGTATTTACCCAGTGGGTGGTTTCTCTAGGAGGATATTTATAGTAGAAGAGGCTTCCATGTCTCCTTCTGAAGATTTTATCATTTTAGTGACAGAAGTGAGGCTAAACATAGCCCTGGGATCATAAAGCCTCCACATGTCTAAATTGTTGAGTGATTGTAGCTGAGATGTGGGCTGCCATCTCTTAAAAAAAAAAAAAGATTTTATTTATTTATTTGAAAGTCAGAGTTACACAGAGAGAGGAGAGGCAGAGAGAGAGAGAGGTCTTCCATCTGCTGGTTCACTCCCCAATTGGCCGCAATGGCCAGAGCTGTGCCAATCCGAAGCCAGGAGCTTCTTCCAGGTCTCCCAGGCAGATGCAGGGGCCCAACGACTTGGGCCATCTTCCACTGCTTTCCCAGGCCATAGCAGAGAACTGGATTGGAAGCGGAGCAGCCAGGTCTCGAACCAGCCCACATATGGGATACCAGTTCCTCAGGCCAGGGCGTTAATCTGCTGCGTGACAGCATCGGCCCCTGACATCTCTATTTGTTGGAGTGATTGGCTCCTGATTTTCCTTGATTTCTTTGCATTTCTTCTGGATTCCCACCAAGCACTCTGTCATAGTATCCCCAACCTCTCTCCCAGTCCTTGTTACATATAAGTGCTGTACAAACAAAGCATTGGGAAATTATGCTGCCACAATTAATAACTGAACCTAATTCCATGTAACTGCATTCCCTCTGATGAGGAGAAGGTTGTCACAAACTCAACTGGCAAGAGAGTGGGTGTTGTGGTCTCAGGGCATCCTGGGCAGGCCTACGCCTGGGCTTACACAGCTCTAAAGTAGATACAGCCCCCTCAGTGGGTGTTGTGAACCACAAATAACACCCAGGAATAAATGAAGTGTTCAATAAGCATTGGCTGGGGCTGGCACTGTGGCGCAGTGGATTAACGCCCTGGCCCGAAGTGCTGGCATCCCATATGTGCACCGGTCCGGCTCTCTGCTATACCCTGGGAAAGCAATGGAAGATGGTCTAAGTCCTTGGGTCCCTGCACCCGAGTGGGAAACCCGGAAGAAGCTCCTGGCTCCGGATCGGCACAGCTCTGGCCATTGCAGCCAATTGGGGAGTGAACCAGCGGATGGAAGTCCTCTCTCTCTCTCTCTCTCTCTCTCTCTCTCTCTCTCTCTGCCTCCCTTCTCTCTGTGTAACTCTGACTTTCAAAGAAATAAATAAATCTTAAAAAAAAAAAAACAATAATCACTGGCTATGGCAGTGCTGTTGATACACATTTAAAAACCAGATAAGCATGTGTTCCAATTTTTGTTTCATTATCACTAAATTATATCCTGAAATAACAATTTCTACCAAAGGTTCTAAAAATTAGTAATAGAGTCATCATGCCTGTAAGCAGTTTTGTTGGGTGCACAATATTCAAAATATACTGCTCATGCCCAGCTTTATACAATCCAGTTAAAGAAAGGCACTCAGATGGAAAAGGGTGCAGTGGGGTGGTTCCCAAATGGCTGAGTCTCAGAAGCATTTGTAACATTCCAGCTCTCACAGTTGCCATGAAAACGAACACCCATTCAGACATTCAGGTTTCCATTCATTCGTTCATCCACTGAAATGTTTACTGAGCCCACATCGCATTCAGGCACTGTTTGTAGTGCTCGTGATACACTGAATACTGAGCTCACAAAGCCCACATTCCAACATGAAGCAAGGTTCACCCCAAATAAAGCACCTATTAATTATCCCATCTTTATATCAACTAAGACAGTGCATCATTCAATCATATCAGAGTCTCATATTCTAAGTAAAAACCCTCACAGATGCTTCTTTTATCCATTTTTCTCACCCTACCTTTCTGCAACAAAAATTGAACATGATATGCCTCTCAGATGGGAGATGCACACATACAGTTATCATTCGAGGTAAGCACAAAATTACATATATGTAGCAGCTTATTTTTACAACCAGGCAGAGTGGCAATAATTAGCATTATTCCTGTACTTTACTTTGTGATGACAACAAAAACACCCTCCACAAATACCGGTTCGCAGTTTCCCTTTCTTCCAAACAGGAGGCTAAAATACTCATCAGTGCCTGAAATAAAGAATTTTCTGTAGGTAACGGCTTTTGTTTGGATGTGACGCTCTCTCTTGCTCACTCTGTCTCTCAGCTACATGCGAACAACACTAGGTTTATGAAGCAAAAAGGAGAATTTACAAGTTAATGAAGGTGCCATTTATGAGAACAGTCTGAACATTTTTCAAAATGAGATAAATCAAAAAAAGAAAGAGAATGATTCCTTCGATTGTCTTTAGCAGCAATGAAAGGCTTTAAAATTCTGCACACATGTGCTATTGAATTGGGTCCTCTTTACCTGGCCGCAATGAGATCCAGGAGATGCTGCCACCGGTCATTGACCTTCCCGAGCTTGTATTCAATCTCGGATGCTTTGCTTTCGTGGCTGGCTTTCGCAAGTCGTTCTCCCATTTGCTGGAGCTGTATTTTGTTCTCTTGGGCAACAGCAATTTCCTCTTGATAATCCTGTATAATAAATAGCAATCACAGAGGTCAGAAAGCTTATTCTTAATGCGTTCACCTGGCTCTACTACAAACATGATAATTACAGTTTTCTACTGCTTGGAAATAGTTTAGGCATGAGGAACACCGTGTGAACAGCAGTCCATATTCACAAGCATTAGCAGCGCCGATTATTTTCAGTATGGATGCAGACTGAGGATGTCCTTGAAAGGAGAGTGGTACTTTGTATTTGCTTAACATGGGCATTGAAAAATAAAAAAAATCATAATATTAGTTACGACAGACAAAACTTGATTGATACTTTATGGATTTTAATATGGGGAAACTATTCCTTATAGCACTAATCATTAACCTGCTATTATATTTAGAAAGAATTTTCATGCAAACACTTGCCAAGCAGCTTGCAAGATGCACACATATATGACATATACAGCACACACATTCATACAGACACAGATGCAACTGATATACGTAAGTGTGCCTGAGGGTTTGTCAGGATACTTGTGCAGAATATTTTAACAGTTTCTTCATTTGAAAGAGATTTTCTAGACAGTGCTGGTATTTTATAACACATAAATCAAGGACAAATTAACTCTCACCAACAATAGACATTCATTTTAGAGAATCAATGGGCCTCAGGCCTTCTTGATTTACCCTGTTTCTGTGCTAATTCCTTTTATATAGTCTACTTGTCAAAGAGAACCAGCTCCATATGTTCTGTTTGCAAGAGATAGGTTTTAAGTGGAATGGTTTAAGTTGTGGTAAAAGGACCACTGCCACTCACCCCACGACCAATTTACTCTCTTGCCACAGTCACGGCATCCAATCGTTAGGATCAACCTTTTCATTTTTGGCTTAAACACCTGTTAGTTAACAAATATTTTCTCCATAAGCCAATAAATATTATATGAGCGTGGATATTTTAATCTACTTTTGCTCTAAAGTTAATATCGTAACAATTTCCTCCCAAGTCATTTTACTTAAGTGTTGGTGAAATTTTATTCCATCCCAGTGCTGAGTGTTTTCCTCATGCCCGGGACCTCCGCCCAATAATCCATCATAAATTTGAGATGATTTCATTGAGAAGTGTTTATTTCCAAGGAATCACAATAAATCTTAAAAACTACTATGGTAAAAGTATTCCAAATGTGTTACCTTTTAAGTTAAGCTGTTTTTGAGTGCTAACACCAAGTAGACACTAGTATCTAAGGTTCAGTTTAATTATTTTTCTATGTCATCAACAGCAGCTCATGACAAGAGCCTAGGGTGATTACTGATGCCATAAACAAGAGTGTCAATTTGTTAAGTCAACAACAGGAGTCACTGTGCATTTACTCCTCATGTAGGATCTCTGTCCTTAGTGTGCTGTACATTGAGATTTAATGCTATAACTAGTACTCAAATAGTATTTTTCACTTTATGTTTCTGTGTGGGAGCAAACTGTTGAAATCTTTACTTAATGTATGCTAAACTGATCTTCTGTATATAAAGAGAATTGAAAATGAATCTTGATGTGAATGGAAGGGGAGAGGGAGTGGGAAAGGGGAGGGTTGCGGGTGGGAGGGACATTATGGGGGGGAAGCCATTGTAATCCATAAGCTGTACTTTGGAAATTTATATTCATTAAATATAAGTTAAAAAAAAAGATTTCCATTGTTCATTAGTTTGCTTTACCCAAGTGGTAGTGGGAACCCAATTACTTGTACTATCTCTGCTTCCACCAATGCCTGCATTTTCAGGAAGCTGGAATCAGGAACCAGAATCTAGAATTGAACCCAAGCACTCTGATGTGGGACATGGGTATCTTAACTGCCAGAATAAATGACTGCTCTCTCATAACTTATTTTATATACTAACATGGTTAAGATTGTAAAATTTTGGCCGGCGCCGCGGCTCACTAGGCTAATCCTCTGCCTTGCGGCGCTGGCACACCAGGTTCTAGTCCCGGTCAGGGCGCTGGATTCTGTCCCGGCTGCCCCTCTTCCAAGATAGCTCTCTGCTGTGGCCAGGGAGTGCAGTGGAGGATGGCCCAAGTGCTTGGGCCCTGCACCCCATGGGAAACCAGGAGAAGCACCTGGCTCCTGCCATTGGATCAGCGCGGTGCGCCGGCCGCAGCTCACCGGCCACGCCGGCCATTGGAGGGTGAACCAATGGCAAAGGAAGACCTTTCTCTCTGTCTCTCTCTCTCACACTGTCCACTCTGCCTGTCAAAAAAAATTAAAAAAAAAAAACAGATTGTAAAATTTTTTACGTATTTATTTTAAAGGCAGAGAGGCATAAAGAGGCAGAATGATCTCTTATATGCTAGTTCACTACCTGGAGGCCCACAACAGTTTGGCCTGGATCAAGCCAAAGTCAACAGTTGGTGATTCAGTTGGGTCTCCCATGTATATGGTGGAGGTTCAAGTACTTGAGCTATAACCACTACCTCTCAGGGTGCACATTAGTTGGAATGAGAAGTAGAGCCAAGACTTGAACCCAGGCACTCTGATATGGGGTAGCGGGGTCCCAAGCAGTATCTTAACTACTATGCCAAAAGTCTGACCCTAGAGTTAATATTTTAAAGAGTACTTCTAACATTATGCTAAATAACAAATTATCTACAAAAAAGCTAAAATTTTTGTTTTAATTATATTTGTATTACAACAACAGAGCCTTTGTCGTGTCTAGTGTACCATTCTTTAACACCCTGCAACTAGCAAAGAACTTCAGCAGATGTTAAAATGAAATCTGCATCATCTCAGCCATTTTAAACATAACAAATTATATATTTTGCAATTTTAAGTAGAAACCTATAACACTATTAACATTACATGTTAACTTATAGATTTTTCCCTTTTCTTTCTTTTTTTTTTTTTTTTTTTTTGGCAGGTAGAGTTATAGACAGTGAGAGAGAGAGAGAGAAAGGTCTTCCCTCCATTGGTTTACCCCCCAAATGGCCACCACGGACAGAACTACGCTAATCCGAAGCCAGGAGCCAGGTGCTTCTTCCTGGTCTCCCATGTGGGTGCAGGAGCCCAAGCACTTGGGCCATCCTCCACTGCCCTCCTGGGTCACAGCAGAGAGCTGGACTGGAAGAAGAGCAACCAGGACTAGAACCAGTGGCCATATGGGATGCCGGTGCCACAGGCGGAGGATTAGCCAAGTGAGCCATGGCGCCGGCCCCACCTTTTTCTACATATGTGTTCATGGATAAAGGTAATTTTTCCTAACAATCTATTTTTTCAGGATAAATGAAACTGTAATTCATTCACTCAGTAAATACTGAATGTTTATAAGAAATAGTTAGGCATGGCCCTGGGTGCAGGGGAGATAACACTGAACAAGAAAGACAAAGGTTATTGTCCAGTGAAGCTTACAGACCAGTGAGGATTCCATTCTAAACAGACATTGAAGCAATAAATACAAAAAGTGTAGCGTACATCAGGTGGTGACATGTGCTAATGGAAAGCATAAGCCAAAACATTAAAATGATTACTTGTTCAAAACCAATGTGGAAATTACACTTAAATCATCAGAAATAGTATATATGCTATTAAATTTGATCAGCCCTATATAGACCAATAATTGTTCCAATTCAAATGAATATATAAAATAAGTTCATCAGATAAATAAAACTTGAAAGTAATATGAAGCCAAAATTATCAGGAAATTCTTCATTCCTATTTATGGTCTTTTTAAACCATATTTTATGGATAAAAATGTTATTTTAAGCGATCTTAAGATTTTTTTTTTTAGTTCTCTAGTGATTTTGCTTTTTCAAAAGAAAACAATACTAAGACAAATGATTTCTACTGAAAGCATGGCTAAAACACAAAATGTTGAGCAGTACCAATAGATAATCTATTCCATCACAGATAGAAAATACCCTATATATTTTAGAAATAAAGTAAGTTTTGCCATGAAAGTTTATTTTTAAAAGATGAAATGTTTAAAATATAGCATTGCTTTTCCCAGACAGTAACTGTGAGTAAGCTGGCCCTCTTTTCCATGGATCCCACATCTGTGGGTTTCTACCAACTTCGGATTTAAAATATTTGGGGGAAAATTGTGACTGTTCTGAACATGCACAGATTATTTCTGTTGTCATCATTCCCTAAACAATCCAGTATAACATCTATTGACAAAGTATTACATTGGATTTGGTCATGTAAGTAATCTACAGACGGTTTAAGCATATGGGAGAACTGTGCAGGTTATATGCAAATACTACATTGTTTTACATAAGGGACTTGAGCACCCACAGATGTTGACATTTGCAGGGTTTGCAGGACTCATGTCCAGGATTACTGAGAGATGCCTGCACTTTTTGCACACAAAGAAGAGTGAAAACATGGGTAGCATCCCATACCTTTCTGAGCTTCTGTATCATATCTTCAATGAGAATATCTCCATTCTGAGCGACCTTGCTTTCCATCTGAGTCAACCATTCACAGAGCTCCTTGTTCTTCTCACTGAAGACTGCCCATTCGTTCAGTCTTTCACCCACTTGCTGCCGCCGCAAGGAGACCTAAAAAGTTCAAAATGTGAGGATATGCAAAAAAGGATAATGAGAACTTACTTCCTAAAAAACTCTAACTGGACCATGTTGGGTGGACTAACGTGAGCAGTGGTTGCCCACCTCTTTAGACCACTGTTTCCTGAAGTACAGGATTTGCTATCAAATCAACGTGGGAGACCTTGAACCCTTCACTCTAATTTTTCCCCACAAGACTCACATGTAGAATAATCCAAGTACACACATTTTTTAGCTTAGCTTTGCTACATGATCAATGGATGTATTTACATGATCGGTGGATGTATTTTTCCAAAAAAAAAAGGAGGTGGGGGAGTTGGAAAGAATAGGGAAAGAAAGAAAAGAAAAAGGGAAAATGAAATGAAGGAAGAATAAAAGAAGAAAAAGGGCAAGAAAGAACAAAGAGGAAAGAAAAAGGGAAAGTGTAAATAAAAATAGGGAAAGAAGAAACGTGGGAAGCCGTCATTGAGCCTCAAGTTTCTGCAGAGTGCAGCCAAGGAGGCACTGGAAGTACCCCAGAGTGGAACACGTGACTCCTGCAGCTAAGTTTGAAAGGGACAGTTTTATTTGGGGCAATTTTACTGCTGTTTTTTCATTCATTTATGTTTGCATCTTTTCCTTTTTTGTGAGAGCTTTAGTGGGCTATATTCACATACTGTACAATTCACTGGATTTTAGTATATTAACAGTGTTGTGCAACCATCACCACAATCTGCCATAAGATCCAGCAATCCCACTTCTGGGTGTGTATCTGAAGGAAATGAAATCAGCACACAAGGTATCTTCACTCCTATTCACAGTAGTCAAGATGTGGAATCAACCTACGGGTCCATCTCTAGATGAATGACGAAGAAAATGTGGCATATACACAAGATGGAATATTATTTAGCCATACAAATGAAAAATTAATAACATTTCCAGCAAAATAGAATCAGAGATTTTTATGTTAAGTGAAATAGACAAGACACAGAAAGACAAATACCACATGTTACCTCTCATTGGAACTTAGAATCATGATTACTGGAGGCTGGGAAGGGTTGGGGAGGTTGGATGATGGGTACAAAAACATAGGTAGATGCAGTAAGTTAGTGTTCCACAGCAGTGAGGTGACCATAGCATATGCAGATACATATTGAGTGTATATGTGTTCTATACTGAATGAAGAATTAGAAGAGAGGAGATGTGTAAGCTCCAAACATAAAGAAAAGGTAAGCAAATTGAAATTCTAATTAACTGACTTGATAATTTTATGCTATATACACGGGAAGAAATGTTGCACTGTATCCCATGTACAAGTGTTACATGTTAAAATTTTAACTGATCAAAAATAAACATTCTTCCAAAAAAGTATACAACTGATTTGTTTTTAGTATATTAACAGAGTTGTGCAACCATCATTGCAACTGATTTTATAACATTTCCATCATATGTTCCCTTCCCCCCAATACCCCTGCCTTCAGTAGCCATTCTTCTCTCCACACACACCTCCCAATCATATTCTACTTCCTATCTCTATCAGTTTGCTTATTCTGGACATTTCATGTAAGGACAATAAAAAATAACAATAACAGATCCTCAGAGACTGGCTTCTTTCAGTTAGCATATTTTAATTGTTCACTGATAACATACACAATATTTCATTTTATTGCTGAATATACAATATACTCCAGTGTATAGATATATCACATTTTACCTATTCATTCATTGGACGTTTGGCTGTTTCCATTTTCAATTATGAATGACGCTGTAACGAACCTTTATGGACAAATGTGTGTGCATATTTTCATTTCTCTTGGGTTTACACTTACCTATAGAATCAGTGGGTCACGTGGTAACACTACAGATTGTGTTCCAAAGTGGTTGTGCTATTTTTATATTCCCATCAGCAACAGGATCCCAATTCCTCCACAGCCTCATCAGTATTTGTGAATTTGATAGCAATCCTAGGATTGTGAAGTGCTTTTGATTTGTAGTTCCCTAGTGGCTAATGATGCTGAGAATATTTTCATATTTCTTTGCCACCTGTATACCTTCTTTTTGGAAAACTAGTCAAATTCTTTGTCCATTTAAAAAATTTGGCTGTCTTTTTATTAATGAATTATACAAGTTCCTTATATACTATTGGTACAATGGGACTGTTTTCTTACTTTTAGGTGTAAAACTACTCCACAACGCTAAAGTTCACTTAATTTGTAATACTCTTGTTTTGAACTGTATTGTTTGAACTACTATTGACTGTTTCTAGTTGAATAGCAAAAACATAATATGATTTCAGTGGTAAGGCTTAAAGTGTTTTTCTGTACAGTCCTATTGACAATGCTAGCCATTCCACCATTGATTCCTCTGTATTAAACATTTGTCTACTGATTTTCTCTTTCCACTCAAAATTTCTTGTGGAAAAGTTTAAAAACAGAGATGCTGAAAGAATTATGTGGTAAAGATTTATGATATACTCCTTGAGTCTAAAATTACTAACATTTTGCTTTTAATACATATATTTCTTTATCAATCCATTTACTTTATTATGTACTTTAATTTCCTTTTAAGGATGAAAATGAAAATATTTGTATGGTACCATGGTGGACTGTGTTAGAGATTAGACAGATAAGATTTAAAGTCTCAGAGGACTCCAAATGTCTGTGATTCTACATCTAAGAAAACAGAATTGCCCATGAGCTTAGGGCCAGCATTAGGTAGAGTGAGTTATCTGGAAAGTAAGCCAACATTAGAAATGAAATGCCAACATTAGAAATTCATTTTCTGTGAGTTAACTACAACTTTTTAAAATAAACATTTCTCTGCTTTATGCAACACACATGAGTCCATTAACTATTTCCTCAATACTTATGGTGTCATTAGTAGAGTATAACTTACCACTTAATTGTTGTTGCAGTTCAGCCAAAGGCAGTCATTTGGAGTGGATACTAAAATGAATGAAAATAGCTAAGAAAGTGCAGGTCAAGAAATTTTAGAGGGGCTTGCGCTGTGGTACAGCGAGTTAAGCCGCACCTGCAGCCCTGGCTTCAGTTCCAGCTGCTTCTCTTTTGAAACAGCTCCCTGCTAATGTGCCTGGGAAAAGCAGCAGAAGACGAGGCCCCTGCCACCCATGTGGGAAACCCGGAAGAAGCTCCAGGTGCTTGGCTTCGGCCTGGCCTGGCCCCAGCTGTTGCTACCATTTGGGAAAGTAAACGAGCAGATACAATTTTGTTCTGTCTCTCCTTCTCTCTAACTCTGGCTATCAAATAAATAAATCTTGGGGAAAAAATTTTTGTGGAACATGGGATCAAAAGATAAATTAAAGAGGCCAGTGCTGTGGCACAGCAGGTTAAAGCTATGGCCCGCAGGGTCAGCATCCTGTATAGGTGTCTGTTCAAGAACAAGATGCTCCACTTCTGATCCAGCTCCCTGCTGATGCACCTGGGAAAGCAGTTGAGGATGGTTCCAGTCCTTGGGCTCTTGCACCCTAAAAGAAGCTCCTGGCTCCTGGCTTCAGCCTGACCCAGCCCTGATTATTGTGACCATTTGGGGTGTGAACCAGTAGATGGAAGATTTGTCTCTAACTCAGCCTTTCAAACAAACAAATCTTTTTTAAAAGATAAAAAAGAAGTTTGAGAGACAACCTTTACCTTAAATTTTTTTTTTTTTTTGACAGGCAGTGTGGATAGTGAGAGAGAGAGAGACAGAGAGAAAGGTCTTCCTTTTGCTGTTGGTTCACCCTCCAATGGCAGCCACGGCTGGCGCACTGCGGCCGGCGCACTGTGCTGATGCGAAGGCAGGAGCCAGGTACTTATCCTGGTCTCCCATGGGGTGCAGGGCCCAAAGGACTTGGGGCCATCCCTCCACTGCCTTCCCGGGCCACAGCAGAGAGCTGGCCTGGAAGAGGGGCAACCGGGACAGAATCCGGCACCCAGACTGGGACTAGAACCCGGTGTGCCAGCGCCGCAAGGTGGAGGATTAGCCTATTGAGCCGCAGCGCCGGCCTTTTACCTTAAATTTTTAAAGTAGTCAGAAAATTAATAAAAGAAGTGTTTGATGCAATGGAATCATTTGTGGAATATCTAACATCATCCATAGGATTGCAGAGGAACATTTTTAAGCAGAGAAAATGAATACACTGGATATTGGGATTCAATGATGTCCAAAACAGCTGAGGTCTTTTTAGAAATATTGAAGATTATTATCAATACACAGTTTTTCTTAAGTGTTGAAACTTAACTGAAAAGTGATTGCTATTAAACCTAAGAGTGGGAATAAGAGAGGGAAGAGATGTGCAATTCGGGACATGCTCAAGCTGACTTGCCCCAAACAGTAGAGTTAGAAACATACCAGGGGATTCCAATTCAATCCCATCATGGTGGCATGTACCAATGCCATCTCACTAGTCCCAGTGATCAATTTCTGTTCACAATTGATCATAATGATAGGACTAAGAGCCAAAGGGATCACATGAACAAGACTAGTGTCTGCAAATACTAGCTGGTAGAATCAAAAAGGGAGAGAACGATCCAACATGGGAAGCAGGATACACAAGCAGACTCAGAATGGCAGATGTCCTAAACAGCACCTGGCTTCAGAATCAGCCCTTAAGGCATGCGGATCCGGCTGAAGAGCCCATGAGAGTATTTCAGGCATGGAAAGCCAAAACACTCTGGCAAAAAACAAAAAACAAAAAACAAAAAACAAAAAGCAAAAAAAAAAAACCACACACAAAACACCACAAAAAACAACCTAAATTAAAGATCTCTGAGTGAGATCCCAGTGAAAAGAACAGGTCTTCAAAGGAGGAGGTACCTTTCTCTGAAGGGAGGAGAGAACTTCCACTTTAACTATGACCTTGTCTAAAGATCAGAGTTGGTGAACTCAAAAGGCTTCCATAGCCTTGGCAACTCATGACAAGAGCCTAGGGTGATTACTGATGCCAGAAACAAGAGTGTCAATTTGTTAAGTCAACAACAGGAGTCACTGTGCACTTACTCCTCATGTAGGATCTCTGTCCTTAATGTGCTGTACATTGTGATTTAATGCTATAACTAGTACTCAAACAGTATTTTTCACTTTGTGTTTCTGTGTGGGAGCAAACTGTTGAAATCTTTACTTAATATATGCTAAACTGATCTTCTGTATATAAAGAGAATTGAACATGAATCTTGATGTGAATGGAAGGGGAGAGGGAGCGGGAAAGGGGAGGGTTGCGGGTGTGAGGAAAGTTATGGGGGGGGAGCCATTGTAATCCATAAGCTGTGCTTTGGAAATTTATATTCATTAAATAAAAGTTTAAAAAAAGGAATTTAGCAAATAAACAACAGAGCTAATCTAAAAAAAAGGAATATTGAGGATTATAGGTCAATTGAGTAATCCGAGTGTTAAATGAAAAATAAAAATAACCATGTTAATTGTAAAGAAAAAAGCCTTCTTCCCACTGAAATCCTAATACATTTTGGTAATGTTTGGTTTAACTCAACTAGAAACATGTCCAGGACAGTGCTGAAGAGCATAATCCTTCATTATGCTCAAACACTCCTTTTGTTTCTAACACTGAGAACAGAATGAGTTCTGAGCTTCTGTTTCAACTCTTCTAAGATTTGGATTGTCTTATAGATATGACTTTTCTCATTTTCATTCATAGACTGTTACCAGCAGGATTCTGGTTGGTAACTGAATTTCTTGATCAACTGATATAAGCTGAAATTACATTTTCATAATTGCTAGATGCTTTCTAAGAAAAAGTTAGAAACTGTAATCATTCATATTTAAGATGAACAGGTGCATAGCTTTCCCCTGAGTACTTCCACTCTGAGTAGCGTCCCCTAAATTTGATCATGAGCTAAGAATGCATTCTAGGGCTTCTTTCACCAATATCTGCAGGGAGGGTGACTACATAATAGAAAAATATTACTTTGAGAGGAGGGTATTATTATCACTGTTCCAGAACAAGGAGGGTGAAGGTTGAACAAATCTTAGGCATCTGTCTATCGTTAGCTTAAGACAAGACCAGCAGGGCTGCAAAATAATCTTATGATCAAACATCTAGAAGCAACTGAGATTCAAAAATGGTCTTATCACTTCCTAGTGGTGTGACCAGGGCAAGGTTATTTATCATCTCTAAGCCCATTCTCTTCATTTGTAAGTTAATCTTACATGTGTTTTAAAATTCATTAACAAATATTTATTATTTGTAGCACATGAGAGTCAAGCTGGCCGTTATGACACTCCACCACTACTCTTACTGCTACAACATGTGACTACAGGGCATCGTCTAAGTTTGTTTCCTCCTTGACAATCCTGTATTCAACATCTACACTAAGAAGCTTGGATATTTGTCTCTGCTGTTTATCCTGCACCGTGAAAGTGCTGTGTACATTTGCTTGCTGTGGAGATACAGCTGAAATAAGAATCAGGAGGGCCACAACCAGGGCTAAAATCTTTTCAAAAAGATGTCAGTTCAAAAGCAGGCAGCATCTTGCTTTAGTTTCTAAATCTCATGCTTAAGCTGCATGGTAAGTGGGCATTACTGTCCTTTTCTTTCGATGCAGTCAAAAATCCTCAAATGATTTATCAACTCAGCACACGTTATGGTTTATGAAGGGCACAAATACACTGTATTTCCTCTAGAGTGACAGCTGAACAGGAAATACATCCTTTTTTACTTTAAATATTTTTACCACGACATCTAAAAAAATTCAACATGCAATTATAGCATATTTATATATATATATTTATATATATAACATATTTATATTTCTGCCAGAATTACAAACAAATCTACAACCAAACACAAGAATAAAAACGAGTAAAATTCACGGCTGTCCACAGGCAGCGCTGATCACCTGGGGATTGTGTTGGAAAATCAGATCCTATCATACATTCACCCTCCCTGGCAAGGTTTACTTACGGCCTGTCTTCTTAATTCTCACCTGTAGTCCCAGTTACCTCTAACTTCTCACCAACTGCTTCATTTGGAATAGGAACAGACTGCTTGCTCTTTTACACAGACAGTGCCATGTTTAACTAGAGCTTTTGAATTCTACGAGACAGAGGCATAAGCTCATTTCCTTTTGTGGTTTCATACTTGACAGAAGTTCACCGGAAATAACTTACTCAAAAACTAACAGCTAGTCTACTTCCTTTCTTACAGTTATATCCTGGTAAACTTGATTAAACTTACGACTAAACTCTCAGTAGTTTAAATAACTGTATTTAATTGAAGTAATATGGGATAAGTATGCTTTGGGTTCATCTCTTAAGACACTCCAATATAGGTAGTTTCCAGAAACACTTTAGACTCAATTGGCTGCTTCTTTTTTACTTCTTAATCTACCCACAAGTGCAAAGTACTAATCTCCTCACAGCACATCAGATGATCAAGAGTCACTTCCCAAATGCATTTTGAAACAGACTGTTGCCTTCGTATATGTACATTTCGTGAATAGTTTTACAATATGTGGATATATAATTTAACAATAGTAAGATTTGCTATTTTTAAAATGTTTATTTTCTAAATGCTTTCAATTTTAAATTTTTTTTTCATCTACTTGTTAGTCAGAGGGGGCAGAGATAAATTTTCTATCTGCTGGTTCACTCCACAAATGTGTGCAACAATCAGTGCTGGGCCAGGCTGAAACCAGGAGTCCAGACCTCCATCCATTTGCCACCCACATGGGAGACCAGGATGGAATTCCAGGTTCCTGGTTTTAGCCTGGTCCAGCCCTGGTCGTTGTGGCCATTTGGAGAGTGAGCCAGCAGATGGAAGATCTCTTTCCCTCTCTGTGTCTGTCCCTCTTCTCCATCAATCTACCTCTCAAACAAACAAATTTTTAAAAAATTAAAATGAAGAAAAACAGATGGGTAGGCTCACAAAAGTAAATGGATAAAGCTATGACAATTTCTTATTATTTGTACCCACCAAATATATTTATAAGGCATATCATAAGGTCTTTATATCATAAAAGTATAGAAAAATTTACTGTTGATAATGTACTACTTTCAGATTAAAGAATTCAGGAAAAAAAAATAAGTATTGTGAATAGTGTTACTACATTCCACGAATAACTCCATGTGTCTCAGTTTTCGTTGAGAATACTGAACTCTGACAAGTAGGTATGTCCATTTTGAACCCAAGTCACTAGACTTTTTGAAAGTCATCTCTTGCACATCTGCTGTTTAAAAGTATATTTTCAGAAGAAACTTCCTACCTACCACATGTGCTCCAGGTCTTCCTCTGGTCCATGGTCTAAGAAATATCTGAAGTTTTAATTTAAATATACAGAGAGAAATTTCCCAAAGAATTCATTTGTTGTTGATGTCAAATAAAGGCAAAGGCCTTGAGCCTCTTACACTGTTTAATGGTTCCCAAAGAGCAAGAATAAGCATCTTTAATGTCAGAAACAGTAGGGAGAAGGGCCATGAAGAGAGATTCCAGGGCAGAAAGGTTGGCATGGCATACAAAGCATGAGTCTGGGGTGAACACTAAGGAGCCCCTCTGCAACAGCCTCTGGCTCAGCTTTCCAACACCTGCTTGTCCCCAGCTAGGACCTAGGTGGACGTTTACTTGAGCTGCAACCTCATCAACACATCTGTCCATTCCCTCCACACTGGTCTGTCTCCTTTACTCTCAGTTCAGAGCTCAGTTTGAGATCCATCCATTACAAGGAACATCTCCTGTATTCCCTGCAATCCACACTGCTCAAAGCTTTCCAACACCTTCATACATTTGTATACATTGTTGTTACCTGTTTATACTTTGCTTTCTTCCTAACTGCGTAGAATTTCTAGCCTAAACTCAATTGTAAACCTGATGGTAGGAACAAGTATTAAAGGAACAAGACAGGAGCTGGCGCCGTGACGCAATAGGTTAATCCTCCGCCTGCAGTGTCAGCATCCCATATGGGCGCCGCTTCTAGTCCTGGCTGCCACTCTTCCAGTCCAGCTCTCTGCTGTGGCCCGAGAGGGCAGTGGAGGATGGCTTGGGCCCCTGCACCTGCGTGGGAGACCAGGAAGAAGCACCTGGCTCCTGGCTTTGGATTGGCGCAGCTCCGGCTGTGGTGGCCATTTGGGGAGTGAACCAACAGAAGGAGCTGTCTCTCCCTCTCACTGTCTGTAACTCTACCTCTCAAATAAAGAAAAAATCTTAAAAAATAAAAAATTAAAAAATAAAAATAAAAAAGGAACAAGACAGACATGACCCCTGCATCATGAAGAGTGTGACCACAAGACCTTAGACAGCCACCTGCTCTGTACTTGGAAGCCTTTAGTTTGCTGTTCAATTTTGTCCATGATGTCTTCTTCTCACTGTCTTTCCCCCAATATTTCCTTTTGATTTCAAACTCAAAAATTTACCTGATTTTAAGGTATTGTGCAAATAGAAAGTAATCAACAAGTAAGGTAAAAGTACCATACACCTATGAGTTACTAGAAAAGAACTCCAGTAAGTCACAAGTAATGATAAATCTTGTTTCTGAACTAGCTCCACGGTGTTGCTGAAATTGTAAATAAAACAATGTGGGTTTTTTTTTTCCACACAGAGAATGGAGGAGACCACCAATATCTAACAAAAAGTGCACTTGTGAACCAAACCACAACATTATGTTTTCTCTTAATAATACCCCAGCCAAGAAAGGGAAAGAAAGATATTTCAGTTTACACATATCTAAAATATAATGTTATGATACAATTGTCTAAATCAGAAACATTCTGGTTTTAACTATGGAGAACGTCCCTCATCCATACTGTACTAGATGGATGGGTTCATACCTTTGACATTCTGAATCATCTCCCAGTTCTCCATCTTTATGAACTAATCCCATCTCTGGAACTTGCTTTACCTGGTGGCACAGTTCTTCCCACTGCCTTTGCAGAAGCTCAATGCGTTCGTTAAGGATGGAGATGTCATCGGCACTGATATAGGCTGAGAGGGTGTCCCTTAGCAGGGTCAGCTGTGTCAAGTCATCTGTCCAGCTTCCAACTGCATTTTCTAGCTCCTGGATTAAAAATAAAAGTGTCAATGATTTTGCAAGTGTTTTTGAATACCCTCTTGATTTGACTTCCTGTCCATCTCAGTGAACTTCAGCATCTACCTTGGATCTCCAGTACTTGCTTCCTAACAATCTGGTAAGTTACCAAGTTCATCTGGAAAAATACCAGGTTGCTCTCAGAATCTTCCTACTCTATTTACCATTTCACTGATACTGATCATATTCATAAAGTAATATGAACAGGTTGCTAAATGTAGCCTTCATTTCAAACACTGTAAGTTACTACATTCCGCAGTACATACTTATAATGAAATAGCTAAGTTCTGTTGCTGTCTCTACTCAAGAATAATGAACTGGGAGGGAGTTTGGCCTAGTGGTTAAGACAGCAGTTATCATGTCTCTGTCTCACAATTTTAGTACCTGGGTTTACTAACTGATTGCGTTTCCAAGTCACATTTCCTGCTAACGCAACCCATGGGAAGCATCAGTGATAGCTCCAGTTATAGGGCTCCTAAAACCCATGTGGGAGACAGGTACTGAGAGCCTGGCTTCTGGCTTTGACTCAGCCCCATTGCAGGCATTTGGGAAGTGAATTAGCAGATGGATGCTCTCTTACTCTGTCCCTCTAACTCTCAAATGAATGCTTTTTAAAAACAAATTTTTTAAGACGTACTGAATGCATTTTCTATAGGATCAAAGACTTCTTCAAGTTAACTAAAAAACAAACAAAAAAAAAACCAAAAACAAAAAAAAAAAAAAACAAAAAACAAACAAAAGATGTTCCTGTCCTTTGGGGAATGGTTTAGGAAAAAAAAAATACACATAACAATATTTGAATGAGTATTGAATGAGTAGACATTAGTTTTTGCAATGCTTTGCCAGTTGAGCAGTTTTGCAGTTTGTGTAACTCTTCTCTGCCAGCTGTTGTTTCTGGAGTCCAGCTAATTTAGTGTGTGAACAGTGTGTTTCACACGGCTTTTTCCCATCTCTTTTTGTCTCCTCATACAGGAGACAAGTCTCCAAAGGCAAAGGGAATTAGCAATACTGGCTCAGGCTAACTTCACACGAGATTCAGGCAATCGGGGTTTTAGCCTAAATTTTCCAGGTAATTACTTTGTTTTGCTGCTAAGGGTGTTTTAAGAGAGTGCAGCAGAGAGCTGGACTGAAATGCACGCAGAGTGTTTTTGCCTTGGATTTGGGGAGATAAAAAAAATTGAGGTCCTGTGGTGACAGTATTTGGCAGAAAGACCAAACCACCCAAGTGAATTTAAAATGCAACGTTCAGTATATTACATTATGCAATATATTCTTACACATACTAAATTGTTATACCAATGGGAGAACTTTCTCTTCTGAATACAAATTTTTAGCTCCCAATGCCAGAATCAGATTTGCTGTTTGGGAACAATAGCAACTCAACCAGAATCCAACTGTTTCAGACTCATAGTTTCTGAGGAGTCTTCAAAGAGTTCATAGAAAATGCACAATATGGAAAAACTTTTCAAAAAAGGTTTGTGCCAAAGCAACTCTACCTTTAATTTTATTTTCCAATACCTTTTTGAAGTTCCCTCATATTTATCCATTTGGTGAATCAATGTGGTAAAAATATAGCCAGGCAACCTTGATACTTATAAGAAGTTATTAAATTTCTAGAAGCCTCAGTTTTCTGACCTTCAAAAGGGAATCAAAGGAATGCCGACACGAGCTTGTGTGAGCTAACACCAGCATAGTCACCGAAAGGTAAAAAGAACCTAACAAATGCCCACTTCTGCTTACCAGAAGTTTTCCTTACTAATTTTCTTATAAAATTACAATAGGTTTAAAAATAAAATTTTTAACCTGATAACCTTTGCATACTTGTTAAAATTACACTTCGAGATAATATTTCATTCATTATGTATGATATAAAATAATTTTTATTTACTACTTTTTCCTAAATCTGTCCCTCTCAAGTTTCAAAGAATATCCTTGAATTTTAACATCAAAGGAAAAATTCTTACACTCGCATCTTTTTAATGATTTCTAGCCTTCTTTAACAATTATAGTCTCCCAAACTTATCACTTCTTAGTCAATGTGAAGTGGAGAATTTGATAAAAGTCCTGGCCATATAATTATATGTAGAGTTTTAAACAGAATTGTCCTAGAACTACTGTTTGCAAATGGATACGTGTAAAGGTTTGTATGTGGTTTGTTCCCCATAGTTCCAGAGGGAACTATGTTAGAGGATTATTCTTCAGGGCAGTAGTACTGAGAGACTCTGGAACCCTTTAGAAGTGGGGTCAAGTGAGAGGTTCTTATTGGGTACAAGCTCTCAAAGGGGATTAAGGCAGCTCTGTGTGACTCCTTAGCGGTTTTTTGGACAGAGTTGTCATAAAAGCATGTAGCCAGCACCACCCTAGCTCTCTCCCTAGCTTCCTAGATTGAGATGTGATCACTTGCTCCTTTATACCCTCCTGATATTCCATTCTCTATGATATGCAGCAGCCAATAGGGCTCCCACCAGAATTGAACTAATACAGGTGCCAATCCCTTGAATCCCCCAAATTGTGTGCTAAATAAATCTCTTTTCTTCATGCTGTCAAGTATTTCATTATGGTAATTAAAAGATAATAACGGGAGAACATGTATAATTTGAAAGAAGGCATTAAGGGCCCTTGTGATACTATTACCACATTGCTCAGCAGGGAACTGATGATCAGGTGCCCACTTGAATACCCAGGTATGCCTGGAATGAATCCTACAGCCAGTAAGCAGTGCTAGTCTCCATGATCTCAGAATGCAGAGACAAGTCTATATCAGCCACTGATTTGCTTGAGTTAGATATACGGTGCTGATTAGAGCCATGATTAATTTAAGGATTATATGTCTCCATGCATTACTGAGACCTGCTTGGGTCTGGGAGGCAAGGCATGTTTCTCCTAGGATCACTGTCTGCAGCTCTTCCGGGATGCTGATTCTTGGTCTTCCATCCACAAACTGGGCTCTTCTGCTGGAATGACTGCCCTGTGTGGATGCTTTAGAAAAATTGCTTTTATTGCTCTTGACACAGCTTTTAAACATCTTTTATGTAGTGTTTTAAATTTTCATTTGTTTCCTTGGGGTGTTCCGTAAACAAGTCTGAACTTTCATCAACTGCAATAAGTCAGCCAAGCCAGTTTTACCAGAGAGCTGTCTGTCCAATTGATAGCCAGGATCTGCCGGCAGACAGTTGTAGGAATTGGATGGGATTATGCTTTCAAAGGCATTAGCTCAGCAGCGACACTGTTGGGTCACTGGGCAACGACGGCCAGGAACTCACCTTGCAACGCATTTGCTCCGCATGGAGCTCCTCGTGGTGATCCGGCAGAGGCTGGGAAAGCGTCTTTTTGAAAGTGCGCAGTTTCTCCAGAGAATCAGCTATCCCTTTCTCACACTTTTCCCAGTCCTATAACAGGAGGAAAAAGAAATTATGTGGATATTTTTGAGGAGGAAATCAGAAAAGAATGGAAATATTTGAGAGAGAGGCAGGCAGACAGACAGAACTGCCTTCTGCTGGTTCATTCCCCAAAAACACACAATGATAGGGGTGGACCTAGGTTGGAGCCATGAGCCAGGAATTCAAACCAGGTGTCTCAAGTGGATGGCAGATACCCAACTACTTGGGCCATCATCTGCTGTCATCCTACGTGGGGTACATTAGCGAGAAGTTGGAATTGGGAGCGGAGCTAGGACTTGAATCCATGTACTGCATAAAAGAATGCTTAACTGGGTGGGCAAATGCCTGCCCCAGAAACACTTTAATTCCCAGGGAAAGTATTAAAGTTGCACTAATGAACATCATTAAAGTACATCCATGCCCATTGCCATAGTAGGCAGAGTACTCGGTCATCAGAAAAGCTAAGTTCAAAATTGACTCCATTATTTATTAACTGTGAGGCTTTAAGAAGACCATGCTCTATGTGTCAGTTTTCCCATGAAAATGTAACTAGGGCATTGTGACACAGAAGGTAAAGCAGCCACCTGCAGCGCCGGCAAACCATAGGCACCTGTGCAAGTCCCGGCTGCTCCACTTCTGATCCAGCTTCCTGCTGCTGTGCCTGGGAAAGCAGCCGAAGGTGGTCCAAATCCTTGGGCCCCTGCACCCATGTGGGAGACCTGGAAGAAGCTCCTGGCATCAGATCGGCCCAGCTCCAGCCATTTTGGCCATTTGGGGAGTGAACCAGTGAATGTAAGATGTTCATATTCATATTCACTCTCATTCTCATTCTCTCTCACGCTGCCTCTATGTAACTCTGCCTTTCAAATAAATAAATATTTTTTAAAAAAGAAAATGGAAATAACGTGAATTCTATACAATTTTTGGAAGACTAAAGCAGGCAATGAGTGTCAAGGCACCAAACACTATGGCCAGAGAGTTTGTGTACTGAAAACGTTACCTGTGCAGTACCTGGGAGTACAACCAAGTACCTTGCCTCTTTTCCTAGCTGTACCTACAATGGTTTGCAATCTCTATGCTCCCTCAAATGTACCATAAGGGATAGAAAAAGGACATAAAATTCCTTTTAGGGTGAAAAGTTATGAAGTGAGATGAAATATAAAAATAATACAACACTAACTGCAATTCATTATACAATGGGGCTTCAAAAAGTTCATGGAGAATTTACATTATCCCTTTAACTCCATTAACCCACAGACATTCAAAGCCCCTGCATATGAATAACATAAGCCACAGATTTAATTTGTTACCAGAGTGGAAACAGTTTGATCAGTTTTATCTTGTCTGTGTTGATACATGCAGCAAAGAGTTAAAAGCATATCACATAAAAGCCCATACAAATCAAGAAGTGGAAGAAGAGCGATAATGCACAACTTAAGAAATATATATCCAGCATGTCTAGTAGTGATAAGTGCTCTGGACAAAAATACATCAGGGTAAGTGGTAGAGAGCACACAGAGAGTGTGGTAGATCTCCAGGTACTAACAAAAGAAAACACAGACCAGATGGTTGTGTTTTGCAGGGTTACATAGGAAAATGGTAATAATGGTCTCCTCCAGGGAAGACAGACTTTGGATGATAATGTAAGTGATATTTCACTTTTTACTCTACAAACCTCAATTATTACCTCAATTTTAAGACACATGTACTTATTTTGTAATTTAAAGAATAAAGAACAATTAGAGGAACTGTAACAGAGATTGAGTCTTTATAACCACCTGTGACCAAATTAATTTCTATCTAGTATCCCAGTGGAAATGCAAATTACATTTAACTAAACAAATCTTCCTTAGTTCGTGCAATGCTACCCCATTGTAATGTACTGTTCATTCGTGGCTTCCATGTTTCAGGTCATCCTCAGTGGCCACTCCCCAAATCAAAAGTTATTAAGCTCCAAAGAAAGACACATGGTATGACAGCTAGAATCACTGACTAATGAACATGGTGCAAAACCATGTTACATTTTCCCTTCAGAATCCCTCCTTCGTCATCAGTAGCTTTTCCTTGTGTAGTCTTTCTGCCTTCTCTGCCGGCACTGTATTTGTAGCACACCAGCCCACAGATTACCACAGTTGTCTTCTGTACAGGTGTGGACTAACGTGCTTCCTACTCAAACTATCTAACTTGTCGCTCCCCCTCTTCGTGGAGGAACGACACTAAACCCTGCCTAGGCTTCATATCCAAGTCACGGCACCATTATGTCGCTCCCTGTCTTCGTGGAGGAGCAACACTGAACCCTGCGTTCTTTCGTCTGCTCGGCCCTCCCCGGATTTGCTGCTGGTTCTTCCCGGGTTGGCTACCGTCCCTTCCACCTCCGTGGAAGGGCGGTTCCCCCTGCCACATTCCCCACTTCCGCGGGGGAGCGGCACACCGCCGGCTGGCTCTCTCGGGGGCTGCACAGGTGTTCCTTCAGATGTTCCCCTTAGATGTTCCTGGTGCATGTTGTCTCTCTCCTCCTTTATAGTCCTCCTCCGCCAATCCCAACTCGGCTGCCCACACGCCGAGTATGCTGCTGTCCTCCAATCAGGAGCAGGATCAGCTCCTGGAGGTCAGCACTCAAGTTGGCAAGAGGCAGCTGCGTAGAAGCTGTTTTCTCCTCTTCCAGCGCCATATTGTGGGAGAGCAGATGCATAGAATAAGTCTTAATTCCAGTAACTCAGTCCAGTCCGGGTTGCTCCCCACACTAACTGAACTGGGAATTTGGACCAAGATTTTCAATGCTCTTTAAAATTCCTCCAGGAATAATTTCCACTTCCCAATAACTAAACCCCCCCCCCCAAATAAAAATCTGTGCTTTCATGGGCAAATCTGTTCCAACTCTCCTTTATTTTAAAATGTTTCTGTGCTTCTTGGCTAAATTAAAATGTTTTTGAGTTTCTTGGCTACACAATTAAGGCTAGGTATGGTGAACATAAGCAAAAAGGTATTCTTTCTGATTAAACTGAACAATTAAATAATAATCATACATCAGAAATCCATCAATATGTAGTTAAAGTATGTTCATTGAACTGAAATAGATAGGTCAGCTTCTTATTTTTCCTAAGAGGCCATCATGAATCAGATGAACATGCAGGCCATGAAATTACAATGACTGCCTTTTTCATCCTTAGGGCATGAAATTAAGGGCTAAAAATACTCCAGTGCAATAGCCATGGTGAAAAGATACATGAAAATGAGGCTGTATAAACACTGCAATTGAGATTCATGAATTCCTTCTTAGGCAAATAGGGTGTAGTGTATGAGTCAAAGTAAACTTTAGGAGTAGAATAGGGGTTTTCCTTCCCAAGGGTGAGTTAGATTCTAAAGCCATAACCAAGTATTTTTCATTGCATGAGTTATAATGACATAACCTAATATCATGGTCTGAAAACTCCTATCAAGTGGATGCTTTATGCACCAAACAATAGATTGACAAGACAAGCAAATACAGTGACTCAGACATCACGCCTAATTAAGTCTTGGAAATAATTCCAAAAATCACAAATAAAGAGAAACATATTATGTACATGTTCTCTAAAGAAATGATTTACACTATTTAAATTCTTTCTTTAAAGCAAAAACAATCAGGCACATTATATTATTGATGAACTATCCTCTGTGCAAATAATACTTCTTTGCAATTATTCAGTGGCATTTTTGATTATTTCCTTCACAGAGGGTAATATTTTATTAAGTAAAATTTAGTAGAACTCAATGGGTGTTTATGCTTTAAGCATTAAATAAAGCAAAAATCCTGCAGTGGAAATTTGGAACAGTGGTTAAGACAGTGCTTGGGGGCCAGCACTGTGGCACAGTGGATTAACGCCCTGGTCTGAAGCACCGGCTTCCCATATGGGCGCTGGTTCAAGACCTGGCCACTTTTAATCCAGGTCTCTGCTATGACCTGGGAAAGCAGTGGAAGATGGCCCAAGTCTTTGGGCCTCTGCATCCGCATGGGAAACCTGGAAGAAGCTCCTGGCTCCTGGCTTCAGATCAGCACAGCTCCAGCCTTGGCAGCCAACTGAGGAGTGAACCAGCAGATGGAAGGCCTCTCTCTCTCTCTGCCTCTCCTCTCTCTGTGTAACTCTGACTTTCAAATCAATCAATCTTAAAAAAAAAAAAAAAAAAAAAAAGACAGTGTTTGGAATGCCTGTATCCCATATCAGAGTGTCTAGGTTCAAGTCCTGGAACTGTTTTCCATTGCTCCCTGCTAAAATACACTTTGGGAGGCAACAGGTGATGGCTCAAATAATTGATCTCATGCCTCCCATCTGGGATACCCAGATTGAGTTCCAGGTTCCTGGCTTTGGCCTGGCCAAGCCCCAGCTATTTTGAACATTTGGAGAGTGACTCAGCAGATGGAAGGTTTATCTGTCTGTATGCCTATCAGTGCCTGTCTCTCTTTGTATCTCTGCCTTTAAAATGAAGATAAACTTTAAAGTTTTAAAAAGCAAATGCATTCCATTAACTTCATTTAGTACTACCTTTCATTCAAATAATAAACCAAATTCAATATTCATTAAAGTGTTGATTATTAACATATACAAAACCTCAGCATTTGGCTGTGCTCACTTTTACAATAATACACATCAACAATGATATAGTTACTGCCATTTATTTAGTAATCAATACATGCCAGATACAGCACCATATGATGTAGCCTCATTTTTTCACTAACTCCTCACAATGGCCAGGTGAAGGAAGTAGGATTATTTCTGCTTTACAGATGAGGAAACTGGGGCTTAGGTAATGTGGCCTAACCAAATCACTAGGTTTGCAATGGTTTTAACTTGCATTTATCAGAATTTAGAGCTCATGCTCTTTTTAACTGCTGGTTTAATTATGTATTATACATGGAATTAGAGCGTGCAGGAGAAAAACACATTGTAGGACACGTGGATGAGGCTCATTTCCCCCAGACTCACTGTGTGCTCAGCATGCAATCGGTTTCCAACTAAGGGCTTGAGATACTTCCTGGAGATTTTATTGCATAGCCACTTGCATGGATAAGCTAAGATAAACTGAGAGTATCTTTTTGGGTTGGTTTTTCCCTACTATAAAATAAGAGATATCAATCTTGAAAACCACTTTAGAGTTTTAGATTAGGGAGTGGAATCCACTCTTTGAATTTCTGTCTGGGTTTATAAAGTCATCACATGGCTAAGGCTTAGCAGTGGCCATTAATCAGAACTCATAACTTGGAATGTCTTAGTAGACTTTAAATTACTTTGGTGGGGGAATTTACTAAAAGACAATATGCTGAAAATTGGGAAACCTTTCCAGTCCATGCAAGACAGGACAAATTCTTAAACAGAGCACAAATAGATCAAAATACTGTAGGCTGCTAGACAATGATCTTTGCATTATTTGACTCCGAAAAAAGCAATGAGAGGAAGTAGGGCAACTATTAAAAGGGCTTTTTGGATGGAACTTACTTTCAACAAGAAGGCCAGTTTTTTCTTCTGTTCCTCCAGACGCACACTGGCTGCTTTCCATTTCTCTTGGATCTCAGTGAGTTCAGCTTGCAAGGCGGCCTCAGCCCCACTATCAGCCGAGAGCAGAAGCTGCTTGCCAGCCTCTACAGTCAAGATATAGCTGCCTTGTTGTCGCAGAAATACTTTTTCCTTGAACTAAAAGGAACCACAGCTTTTTACTTTCTCTTTGTCTTCATAAAATGCCCTCCATTTTGGTATATAAAGCATGCTCTCTATGGATGAGGCCTCCCAGATAAATTTGGGGGGGAAAGAGATCACAGAAGAGCAACCTTTAAGGGATGTTAGCCCATGGACTATGCTGGGAAGGGCAGATTAGGGTGCTGGAGGAATCCGTCTCCAGACCAGGGAAATTAAGGGACCAACTGGGGAGGGACAAAAAGCTCAAGCAGCACTGAACCCGGGAGTACTTAAGTTCCATGTTGGAATCGCTTATGAGTAACATAAATACAACAGCACAGAGCTTTCCTTGTCATTGCCTTTGCATCCACACTGTGGTGGGGCTGGGGGGAGGGGTGGTCAATGAGCTGCCACAGGCTTTGGGCAGTGAAGGGAGGGACCCTTGAAGAGGAGCAGAGGTTTATTTTAACTTCCATGTTCACTCTGGCTTTGCAATACAATCATTTTTTATCTTTCTGTTGACATTTGTGAACAACGTTTCTCTTAATTCCAATGTCACTCAGAGTCCTTGTGAAGAACTGAGGCTAAGGTAAATTGTGCAGTGAAAACAGAGAAGAGGCTTGAGAACAATATGTTTCCCACCTTACCTGCACTTCATCAAATAGGGTTCTTGCTTGCTGCAGTGGTATAGGGATGCTTCCGAGACCACTCACTGGTAGATAGGACACTTCAACCAACCATTTACGAAGCTTTTCTGCCATCTCTCGATAGCGCTGCCACTGGCGAACCTGGCTGTCGATGATCCCCCTCCTCTGTTGGGCCCTGCGAATTACTCCCTGCCACTGATTACTGAGCAGAGTCAACTTCAAGTTGAACTCATCCCTGGAGAGGAAATAATTGCACGGGGAAAAGCACCATTATCTTCGATGCAGTCACACAGTCAGCCAATGTGTACCTTCTCAAAGATCATAAGCTATGAGGGCATAGTTTCAAACACCATGCCATGATCTGTTATTGAATCTATTGCAAGTAATTTACAATTAAACCACCAGCATTTGTAACAGTGAGTGTTTTCATATTTCAGCACAGGTGGGTAGCAAATACATAACAAGGTCATTGTCACTTCTCCTGAGTGCATGAAAGAGAAAAGTAATGGGAAGTGCTCCAAACCCTGCACACACTCACAGCAATGTGTGTAGCCCATGACCCAGTTATGTGTGCCCCATAGCAGGAAACCATGTGGAGAGATCTGATTTATAACTCTGTCTTCACCTAAAATCACAAGCCACTTTGGAGCAACAAAACTGTCATTTTAGCTGGAATCACAAGCCACTTAAAGCACATTATATATCTTAAGATTTTAAAAATCTGCACTGCATAAACTGAGTACTCCTTTAAAATAAGCAACCCCAGTCTTAAATTATTTCACATATGAATCTAAAGCATCCCCTCTACATTTCACTTTGTTGTTAGAAAAATGAAAGCTGTCTAGCCATTACAGCCTGCATATCGATTGTTCACATGTTTAGAGATATCAAAATTTAACTTTCTCAATTCAAGGCTAGATAACATCAGCTCATATGGGCACCAGTTTGAGTCCTGGCTGCTCCACTTCTGATCCAGCTCTCTGCTATGGCATGGGAAAGCAGAAGAAGATGGCCCAAGTTTTTGGACCCCTGTACCCATGTGGAAAACCTGGAGAAAGCTCCTGGCTTCAGATTGGCCCAGCTCCTGCCGTGGCAGCCATCTAGGGAATGAACCAGTGGATAGAAGACCTCTCTCTCTCTCTCTGCGTCTGCCTCTCTGTAACTCTGACTTTTAAATAAATAAATCTTTTTTAAAAGTATAGCATTACTTGTGCTTTCTCTATTAGTTTCGCTTTTGTTCCTTAGATACACTATTCTGTCCTTTTATGAGGGTGATATTAAACTGAATCAGACTTATCATTCTGGAATACTATGGGAAGGACCTTCAAAAAGTTCTTGGAAATGGGTGTTACGAAAAAAAAACAAAACAGTGCAGGGATTTAAGTTTATTTTGGTGAAAAAAATTGGTATCTTAAAAATGTTTGTTTTCATTTTATTTCAAAAGCAGAAAGACAGAGAGAGAAACAAAAGAAAAGGAGAGATCTTCTATTCACTGGTTCATTCCTCAAGTGCCCGCAACAGCTGGGCCTGGGTCAGGCTGAAGCCAGGAGCCAGGAACTCCATCCAGGTTTCCCACATTGATGGCAGGAGCTTCCAGTTCTTGAGGCATCACCTGCCACCACACAGGCTGCACATTAACATGACACTGGGTCAGAAGCAGAGTAGCTAGGACTCACTTTGCTATGGGATGCAGCATCCCAGCGGTATCTTAATTGCTGCAAATACTCACCCCAATAAACTTATCTTTTAATTCCATTTTCCACAAACTTTTTGAAGCAACCTCATATTATTGATACCTCATATTATCCAAGGCCACAATAAATTTGGACTTTGTAGACAAACGTGCTTAGTTCCAAAAACTTACCTAATGATTCAATTTAAACAAAAGAGGAACACATGGCTTATGCCAACAAAGCTGGTATTAAGGGAAAAAATGCACTGAAAAAGTTCTGGCAAAAATTTTATCATGCTCTCCTTTTAAAAACAGATCATGACTACTTAAATTTTAATGACTTCTGTTTTGGAAAGCAAATTCTAATAGATATGATCTGTTAGACGTTTCTGTAACAAGCAAGCCCCTACATGCTACTTTCCATACCAGTCAAGAACTCTTTGGAGCCCTTGTCCTCATTCTTGTACAACTGCACTTCCCGAGCTACCTGCTAGCATGAGAAATTATTTAAAACATGACCTTGTTCCCATGGCTAAACTTGAAGCTCTGAACAACAAAGTTAACTCATGTTAACTTTTAGAGCACAATACATTTGTCATCGAGAACCTTCCTGTTGTCAACAGGCACTAATCTGATTCTTTTTCATCTGCAACTTTTGAAATAGTTTATCCTCTCTCAGGTCCAAACCTCCCACTTTCATCTCTTTGGCGTTGTCTCCGAAATGTTAGCATTTAAAATTTAATAGATTTTGGCTTGCATAGGAATTTTAAATTTTATTTTACTTAATGACTAGAATGTTTACAATATTGTTATAGAGTTGGCTAAGGGATGATAATGCAAAAGATAAAAGTTAATTGCACTTGAATTTGTTTTATTTTGAAGGCCTTAAATTCTCAGTAAAGCTCATATTTCAGTTTGGCTTCCTTAGAACAGAATAAATATGATACCACATTTTGTTGCTCCAACCTTAACCATGAAAATCTTTCATGTACTTTCCAAAGAAATTTCCACTTAAAACTGAAATTGCTTCCAAATCATTAAAAACAAGGTCCTCATAAAAGTGATTTATTTTCCAATTAAAAACAGACTAAGTTAATTATACTCACAACTACCAGTCCTAAATATGGAAAAGATGTACAAATGTAATAGGACAAATGAGGCTAACATCCCAAATATCACCATGGACAGTAGGTGAGATAAATACTGTCAACATAGTATGAAATGATTAATTCACATTTCATAAAGCTGAAGACAAGCTATATTCTTATCTCTGCATTTTTAGTAAAGCGATAAATCGCTACATCCAAGAAGAGCAAGAAGGACTTCATGCTGAATGCAAACTGATTTGAGGTAGAAAACCATTTTAAACATGGGGGAATTAACATAGCATGGACTCACCCAGCACTGACTAAAAACTAGACACGGGTGCTTTAGACCTGATGCTGCTGCTACTTAGCTACCAGACCTTGATCAAATCAGCTCAGATGTGACAGTCTCCAGTTTTCATCTACAAGAGAGATGGACTAGTGATGTGTGTGTGCTCATTTTAGGAGTGAAATTTCTGTAATTGTATGAGAATATTAGAAGCATCTGTTTACAAACCAATGATACAATTCATTCTGATCTATTCATCAATTCCAGTCCCCTGCAGATGATCAGCTAAGGTTGGCTAGGTGATTTCCAATTACTTTATGTCCTTCATATCATATAATAGCAGTTCTCAAAAAAGATTCAATACTCACTCATTTCAGAGATTCAGACAAGCCTTTCTTCCAATTACAGAGGCTCCACTAGGGCACAATTGCCTTTGGAAGATTGGATATATGCCCTCTAATCTGCTCATTAAAAAGAAAATGACTAATTTACTAGGACCCTTCTTCATAATAATTTGTCAAAGATCCTACCTGTCATCAACTTGACCTTGTTCTAGAAGACGTTGCCCATCAATAATGATTGAGTGCAAAATTTGCTGACGACTGAACATCTCGGCTTGAAACAACTATAATTTAAAAAAAGAAGTATGTATTTTAGAGCTCCTAATTTTAGTGACAAGCTCTCTGATAACTTTCCAAAAATTCTGGTTTTAGTGAGGCTACAAAAAATATCTCAAGCTGAATCAAGAAGTGTGTGCGTATGTGAGTGAAATATTATTGGGTAGGAATAATTTAGTTTTAAATCATCAATTAAGATATGATTGAAGGTACTGTTTAGTTTTTGGTTTATTAAAACCAAATGATTAGAAGTATAATTACTGTTCCCTTCTTTCTTTCAAAAGCATCTAATAACATAGTTAATGCACAATTTGTGGCCTGGTTTATTCTGTGTGTATACTGTAGCCCAAATTCAGGCACAGAGCATAGGTTAAGAGCTTTGTATAAACTGAAGAAAGTTAAAAAACAAAACAAAACAAAAAAAAAACCTGATCTTTCTGAAGTCAGTGTTTTCAAGGTAATTAGATTAATGAAATCAATTTAGTATTTAAAAACTCAATATAAAGTCTTCCAAATTATTCCCACTATTTTAAAATAGCTTCATTGGGATGTAATTCACCCAGTTCAAAATGCCCAATTCAATGGCTTTTACGATAAGTGAACACTTGTATGAAAACAACCACAACCAATTTAGAAAACTTTCATTAGGAATGATTCCCCAATTCCTCCCAGTACCCCCAAGCCTAGGCAGCCACTGATATTCTATGTCGCTATGGATTGCCTCTTTTGGATATTTCAAACAGCTGGAATCACAAACATGTGATCTTCTGTGGCCAGCTTCTCTCACTTAGTATAAAAGTTTTAAGATTTAGCAAGTTGCAGTGTGCATCAATACCCCATTCCTTTTTATTGCTAAATAGTACTCTATTATGTGGTCATGCTACATTTGACTCATCCATTCATTAACTGAAGGACATTTGGGTAGTTTCCACTTTTGCCTATCATGAATAATGCCACTATGAACAATGTATGCTGAACCAGTATTTATGTGGACACTGTTTTTATTTATATGGGGTACATCGAATTAGCAGTCTATGTGGTAACCATTTCACAGGTTAAGGAACCACCAAACTTTTTCCAAACCCTCTATATTATTTTACATCCCCAGTAGTGACAAGTAATGACAGATGTACTTTCTAGTGTATGTGTGTGTGTATGTGTGTGTTTGTGTGTGTGTTTTCTCACCAGCACTTGTTTTTTGTTGGAGTCATTCTGGTGGGTATGAAATGGTTTCTCATTATAGTTTTGGTCCACCATCTTTTACTTAATCATCTGTTTTATTTAATCAAACTCAGAAAAACTTGACTTAAAAATACCTGTACATCTTTAAATTCTATGCTTTTAAACTTTAATATGTTTTAAAATTGGTTCCATTCTCTTTTAAGCTTCTAAATTTTGCCCGTGGGTAAGTCCCATCTCTCTATGTTCATGTATTTCATAATCACATAGAACAATTTAGTCATACCAGTAAAAAGCAAAAAATGAACCAACAGTTGGCTACTTAATTTACTTTTTGTATGTAATTCTGCTTGTTCCTTGAAAAATAATTATAATGCAATTTTACTAAGAGGTACACGTGGAGATATTTAATAACATGATTTTCTGGTATGAAATTGATGTTTGTTTTTAAAGAATACATAATTTTCATTTCTCAAAGTCTTTTGATCAAAGAAATTAACATTGGAAATATTAATGCAGCACATAATCCAATTTGAAAACCATATTTCAACTTTGCTTCCTACTTTTCCTCACAACCGTCAAGTCCCTTATTCCCACTAAGTAACCTTTAGCCACAATTCTAGTAGTACGCATTGCGAGGAACTGAAGCCTAATACATGAGCATTACCAACCATGGAGCAGAAAACTTGGCTACAGTTTTGTAATTAAGATGCCAAAGTTTCAAACTGAAGAAACCAAAACAAAGCATGCATTTGAGCTGACAAGGTAAAGCGTTTTAAATCTCCCATGTGGCATTTTGCAACATCATCCAAAGTCCTAAAACTTTTTTCTTACCCCAAATCTACTGGCATAATTTACCTCATGGGCTCTCTGCTGCTCCAAAAGATGTTGATAATTGCCTGAAATCTCTACTGCTAACTTCTGTTCCGTCTGAACCAGGAATTCCATCCATGTTTCACATTTTTCCAAGAAAGTTTGATGTTGTAGCAAAAATGACTGCAACTTACTGACAGAGCAAAGGACAAAGAATGGCAATTATTTTACTGCTTATTCTTGTATCTCTATCATATAAAACTACATTAAATATTCTTTGTCTCCAATTCTAAATCGTACTGCCACAACACTTTCATGTTAGGCAGTAAAATAAAAGATAAAGAAGTAGTACGGAAGGAAGGAAGGAAGGCAGAAAATTGAAAGGAAGTAAACTTTTGACTTATTATCATCTAAAGGATTAAAATAATATACTTCCCTTAAAATCATTTTTACTTATAAGAGTATTACAGAGGGCATACATTTGGCATATCGGTTAGGATGTCACTTGGGATGCCTACATCTCACATCAGAGTTCCTGGGTTCAAGTCCTGGTTCCATTTCAATTCCAGCTTCCATCTATTGTACATCCTGGGTGGCAGCAGGTAATGGCTCAAGTAGTCGGGTCCTTGTCACCCACATAAAAGACCTGGATGAGTCCCTGGCTCATGGCTTCAGCCTGGTCTATTCCTAGATGCTGTGGGCATTTGGGGAGTGAAACAATGGGTGGGGGAGATTCTCTCCCTCTCTCTCTCTCTCTCTTTCTCTCTCTCTCTGCTCTTCCTCCCTTTTTCTCTTTCAAATAATTTTAATACATAAAGAGTTTTCTTATTAAAACCCTGTTTAGTACATTGAACATGGAAAACCACTTCACATTTTGAGCTTCCCTTTTTAGTTCAAATTTTGTCAGTATTGTTAGACAGACCTAGAAGGTATAAATACACAGAAATAATGAACATATTTGCTCCTGATAATACAGGTGCTAGGGTTCGAATGTGTCTCCTCCTAAGTTCAGGTACTTCAAGGTTGAAGATCGTATTTTGAGGTAGGGCCTTTAAAAGGTCATGAGGCTGTGAGTTGTCCTCATCCACGAATGGAGTCATGGCCCTTCAAAGGGAAGCCTCACAAAGCACTTGGTGCTCGTGCCCTTATGCCTTCCACCATGTGAGGACACAGCATTCCTCCCTCTGGAGGGTGCAGCCAGGAAGGCACCCTCTTGGAAGCAGAGAGCTACCTTTCCTAGACACCAAGCCTACTAGCATCTTAACTTTTCTTTTTTCATTTTATTTGAAAGATAGAGAGACAGAGGTCTCCTATCTGCCGGCTCACTCCACAAAAGCCAGCAATAGCTGAGGGAGGTCCAGGCTGAAGTCATGAGCCAGGAACTCAACCTGGGTCTCCCACGTGGGCAGCAGGATACAACTACTTGAGCATTCACCTGCTGCCTCTTAGGGTATACTTTAGCAGAAGGACAGAACTGGGAGCAGAGTAGCTGGGACTTGAACCCAGGCACTCCAATACAAGAGGTACACATCCCAAGTGGTCTCTTAACCACTGCATCAAATATCTGCTTGATATTGGCATTTTGATGCTATACTTTCCAGTCTCCAGAACTGTGAGACAATAAATTTCTGTTCTTTAAAAATTAACCTGCCTGTAATATTTTATCAAAGCAGCAATAAGCAGACTAAGACAACGTGAGTGATCAAAACATCTTCTGTTTACCTGAATCTTTCTGTTGTCTGAGAGGAGATGAGAGACCAGTGCCGGTTCAGGTTCTGCATCCTTTTGATTTCTTTATCATTCAGTGGTAACCTATATCCAAGCTCATTTAGGCGGTCTAAATCTGGAGCCATGCTGCTGAATTTTAACATCTGTCCCTGAAAGCAAGGTTTTATAGTCAGAAAAGGTGGGGGTTTCTTTAGCATGCACAGTGAATTTCTAGCTTCAGGAAAACGCTGACCTTTGTTCTGCTGTGCATTTCTAGGTAATTTATCTGCAATGTGCAGAAGTAAAAATAGAGAAGAGCCTCCTCTTCCCGGGGCACTGCTGCCACTGCTATTGCTACTGCTGCTATTTGTAGCAATTCATTGTAGCCTTCATTGTTGGTTAGGAGTTCACCTATATCATCTTATCTATTTGATTCATTTATTCATGTGATCTTGATAGAACTGATAAAGGATGAGTATTATGCTGAGGACTAAAAAGGCTCATTACTTACTCTTTACATTTAATTTATTCATGCTAATCTGCTCCTTTATTGTCTAATCATGGTAACAGTTATAACAGCCATAGCTAACATTTATGGAGCACTTACAATGAAACAAACATCATTTAAACAGCTTTATAAGTAAATACCTCATTTTCTCTTCAAAAACAATCTCATGAGGAAAGTACCAGTGTACTTTTCCCTTTACAAATGAGGGAAAGAAGCTAAGTAAATTGCTCAAAGCCACAGCTAGCAAAGGGTGGAGCTGGGTAAACAAACGTTGGGTTCTTACTAGATGAAATACAAATCTCACTTGAGTTTTGAAATGACCACACATCGCCTGGAGAGCTTCAGTGTTAAGTCCTTGAGCCTAGACTCAAAGTGCTGAGACACAAGCAAAATAGCAATCTTTACTTTCATATCTCTTTCCTCTCTTCAAACACAGGACAAAGCTGCTTGTTCTGGTTTTTGCCATGGGCATTCTTATCTCCCTCTAGAAAACTGGCTACAGGAAGAAGAAAACCTCAAGACATCTTTAGCGATGTGGGTGTTCCCTCTTTACAGGCCATGCAAAAGCTCATGGTACCCGAAGAAGAATAACTCTTCCCAATTATTGGCCCAAATCACAACTATCAGATGGCAGAATTTCCATGGAAGGACATCAGCACTGAACAAAGTTGACATGACGTGGTCATGCACTTGGAGGGATAAGATCCCATGACAATGGTAGAGATCCCAGTAGTCACACACTCACACAAATGCAGTAACTAAATGACATGATGAAGCTGGCAGTAACAATAGTGTGCTATGAAAGTGTCACTGGGGAACTGGATAATCAGTGGAGGCCTTCCCAAGGGAGTGATTTTGAGCAAAATTATCAATTTTCCCTTTTTGGTGAGGAGGAAATTGGTGAAGACAAGCAAAGAAATGGGAAATATCATATGTTCAGACACTGGAACACACTGTGGCTCCCTCCTGAGTGGCTGGAATACAAGAGAAGAACCTTAGGTCTGGTGGAAGTTAGGCTACCATAGACTCAACAGACCACACTGCTCTTTATCCTAAGAACTAATGAAGGGGCCAGCACTGTGGCATAGTGGGCTGAGCCTCCGCCTCTGGCACCAGAAACTCACATGGGTGCTGGTTCGAGTCCTGGCTACTCTTTGATCCAGCTCTCTGCCTGGCCTGGGAAAGCAGTTGAAAATGGCACAAGTGCTTGGGCCCCTGAACCCACACTGGGGGCCAGAAGAAGCTTCAGGCTCCTAGCTTCGGATCGGTTCAGCTCTGGCCATTGTGGCCATTTGGGAAGTAAACCAACAGATGGAAGACCTTTCTATCTCCCCCAGTCTCTGTAACTCTACCTCTCAATGAATAAATAAAATCTTAAACAAACAAAAACTATTAGAATCTAGTGATGATTTTAACCAGAACAAGATGCTAAAATTATTATATCTAGTGTACATTATCTACATCATTGAATGTTTAAAATAGTTAATTGAGTAAAATCAATTTTTCCATTTTAAAAATACTGTTTTTGAATGACAACATCAATGTGATGGTTAAATACATGTATACAGTGTAGAATGATCAAATCAAGCTATTAGGTAACATTATTTGAAAGAGAAAGATCATGCTAGCTGTCAGGAATGGAGGAGGTTTCAGGGCAGGGGGTACATGCAAGGTCATAGGAGCTGCTATAGCAGTTGAGAGATCAGGGAAGCTTGAAGCAGGGGTGGATGATGTTCATCAGCAATGAAGGCTGGCAACTCAAAAAGGTGGAGGATGGCGCATGGTGAGGGACCCAGGCAGAAAGAAGAATGAGGTGGTTTTCTAGGTCTGGCCCTGGCTGTGCCCCAGCTACTCCCCATGGCTTGGGCAATCAGCTTGCATTCATCGCCCACATGCTGTTCATTCCTCTCAAGAAGATGGAGCTGAGGAGAATTTCCCTGAGGGCTCAAAAGAAAGGGGATGCTCGTGTCAGTTCCCAGTTTCTCTGAGGATTCTAAGGCAGAGAACAGCAGATCTGGGACTCAGACTGGAATATACTTACCTTAAGCTCTTCCATCCTTTCCTGGATGCTGGAGAGGTCTGAGGAGTGGGAGGGGTCCTGCCCTTGGAGTATGTCTTCAGCTTCCACTATCCAGGCCTCCAAAGCTTCTAAACTCTGGGCAAAGGTTTCGTAGTCAAGAACTCCAGCCTGTTTTTTTCAAGTACAAAGAAAATTGGTGTTTCAGTGAAATATATTGACATTTTAATAAAATCTCATGAAAAGAAGCTATTAAAATTAATTTTCATCTTCCCAAATCAAATTGCTATTCTCAAGATGTCATTCTTTTTTTTGTAATTTGCAATTATCATTAGATTTATGATTTTTACTTTAACTTTTACTTAGTAAATATAAATTTCCAAAGTACAGTTTATGGATTACAATGGCTTCCCCACCCATAACTTCCCTCCCACTCGCACCCCTCCCATCTCCCGCTCCCTCTCCCATTCACATCAAGATTCATTTTCAATTATCTTTATATACAGAAGATCAATTTAGTATACATTAAGTAAAGATTTCATCAGTTTGCACCCACACAGAAACACAAAGTGTAAAATACTGTTTCAGTACTAGTTATAGCATTACTTCACATTGGACAACACACTAAGGACAGATCCCACATGAGAAGTAAGTACACAGTGACTCCTGTTGTTGACTTAACAATTTGACACTCTTGTTTATGGCGTCAGTCATGAGTTGCCAAGGCTATGGAAGCCTTTTGAGTTCGCCGACTTCGATCTTATTCCAACAGGGTCATAGTCAAAGTGGAAGTTCTCTCCTCCCTTCAGAGAAAGGTACCTCCTTCCTTGATGGCCCCGTTCTTTCCACTGGGATCTCACTCACAGAGATCTTTCATTTAGGTCTTTTGTTTTCCAGAGTGTCTTGGCTTTCCATGCCTGAAATACTCTCATGGGCTCTTTAGCCAGATCTGAAAGCCTTAAGGGCTGATTCTGAGGCCAGAGTGCTATTTAGGACATCTGCCATTCTATGAGTCTGCTGTGTATCCTGCTTCCCATGTTGGATTGTTCTCTCCCTTTTTTATTCTATCAGTTAGTATGCGCAGACACTAGTCTTGTTTGTGTGATCCCTTTGACTCTTAGACCTATCAGTGTGACCAATTGTGAACTGAAATTGATTACATGGACTAGTGAGATGGCATTGGTACATGCCACCTTGATGGGATTGTATTGGAATCCCCTGGCACGTTTCTAACTCCACCATTTGATGTCATTCTTACAAATCCAAGGCTATCACACTATAATTTCTCTTATTTATTATGTAATTTTCTAAGAAGTAGAATTATCACTAATCAATAACCAATTAAAGTTATTCTTTAAATTCTCAAAGATGTCCAAAATATATTGATTCCTGCAGAAACCTGTTACATAAACATGACTGTTAATAAGCATTTATTAATAGAACAAACCATGAAGGCAAGCATAGACATCCTGAACAGAATTTAAAGTTACATTGTAGAGTACAGTACAAAACTCTCACTTTCCCTTGTTCCCACTGGGACTCCCATATTGATTTATCTTTTTTATGATTATCCTTTGCTGTTGAAGGAGGCATTGTCTCAGTGAAGAGAAATCCTTTTTCTGTGTGCAGCCTGGACTTTACAGAACACTCGGGTTATACCACACACTGCAAATGAGCTCTGTACCTGTAACACCGTCTGTTGTTTGCAAAGAGCCTGCTCCATGGCGCCCAAGTGTTGACTCAGGGAGAGCTGATCAGACTGAATAGCCGATGCTGCTGAAACATCCACTTGTTGCTTAAGCTGCTCTCCCAGCTCTTGGAGAACAAAAAGGGAATCCTTGACTGTTCCCAGTCCTTTGAGGAGGTCCTAAGGCAGATGAAAATAAGGCCTCATGAAACAACATGGTAAGTGTATTCCTTGTTATAAAGAACAATCAGCAGAGGACCACCGTCTGGAAATATTCCATTCTTATCTATCAAACTATTACACTAAATAACATACACCTGCAGAAAAGTGACTAAGCCTTGAATCCAATCTCTAAAATGTTATGTATATTTAGCAGTTTAAACACATAATATATATTTTATATATAGAAAGTTCCTTCAACAGATTATGGAAAATGGAATTAAATGTTTAATTTACCTTAGTGCAAAAATATTATGAAATGTATTCAAACAAGGGCTTTCCAAATGTTCATAGGAATTGCATATTATGAAATTATGCACAAATTTCAAAATTTTTGCACCAACATAAATTTCTCCATTGAATCTATTTTCCACAAACTTTTGGAAGTGCACTGTGTGTGGTTTTTGTGCATGTGTAATTACTATTCTGATAAAAGGTACATAGGTTCATCACAGGAAACTGAGTAAATGCAGGAAACACATAAACAAGGAAAAAAGCATGATCCACACATGAAGCCAACTGCTGGAAACATTTTGGCAGTTACTTCTTGTCTCACTATGTAACCAATAACAAAGTCAAAATGCAATGCTCTATTTCACCTTCTCCTCATTGTTTGTACAAGAGATGAGTTGGTCCACAGCAGTTTCTACATGTGTTGTACATTACTGTAGTTACCATAACCCCCCTCACAGTGGGGTGTAGAGCCCATTGCTGATTCTGGTGAACAGGAGTGCTAGTGGACCATACCTCTGTTCTTTTCCATGATACCACTTGCCTCTACTCTGTGTAGAATCCTCTTCTAGCCTCAAAACCACAAGCCTGTAGGAATGCTCCTCTGTCCCTGGTTTTTAATCCATGAGTGACAACTTCTGTTTCTTCCACCCCACTGGACATGGTGGAGAGTGCACAGACAGCTATACCTACATAGCCACTAGTGCAAGAGAATGACAAAGGGCTCCCTTGATCTTGACGTGGACGATTGACAAATCCTCATTTTAGGAGGACTGAAAGTGACAGATCTGGGGTGGGCATGGGGCACAGTGGTTCAGACACTGCTTGGTTGCCTATGTTCCACATGGAAGTGCCTGAGCTCACAAACTGGCTGTGCTTCTGAGTCCAGCTTCCTGCTAGTACACACCCTGCGAGGCAGCAGGCAATGGCTCAAGTAATCAGGTCCTGCCACCCACGTGGGAAACCTAAATTGATTTTCTGGCTTCTCGCTTTGGCCTGGCTGAGCCTCAGCCATTTTAGGCATTTGCAGAGCAAACAAACGATGGAAGCTTTCGCTATTTCTTTCTTTCTCAAATAAATAAAATTTAAAAATCTAAATCTCATTAAATTCAAATAAAGAAAATGACAGAACTTGTAAAGATAAACTATGAAGACAAAGAAAATATTGTATCAAATTAATCTTTACGCTTTAAAGTGATTATGTCAGAGTTATTCAAATAGGTTAAACTTTCACATTTATTTTTTATACTTGCCTAATCCTAACAAATTTATTTGGGAAAGTTAAGAAGCAGATCTCTGTGTAAGTTAACTGAAATAAAGACAAATCAGGATAAATATCAAGAAACATGTACTGGAGGAAACAAGAGCTGTCCCTGACAACCTTAAGTAGGTTATTGGCAATTACAGTGAAAAAGATTTTTTAAAAAGCTATTAAGCCGTATGCCAGTGAATCACGGGAGAAGGATTTCATTCTACCATTAACTTCTTAGGTAAAACCATTATGTAGCTGCTCACATAGCAGATATCAGATCTATCAGGACAGTATCTTTAACAGTAGTTTTTAAAAGACGTATCATTCCCCTTATGTTCACTTCCTATATTGGCTATCTCTGCAAAAACAGATAGCCTAAATCTTCACATGGATTATATTGTTTTATGAAAACTGGACAGTAATCCGACATTTAAAATGAAACAATGGGAGGGACCCCCTTAAATGTCATATCCATGTAACTGTGTTCTGAAAATCTAGCAGGCTCTTTGACATGTGAGATGATTAATCTGGGATAACTGTCTCACTTACTGAGACATAGCAAAAAGTCAGACACATCCGCATTAGCTCTGCTGAATTTGGGAAATCTAGGGACTTCCAGGGAAACACCATAGTTCCTGAACTTACATTGCAATCTTGGATCCATGTAGCAACTTCATCATCAGCGATGTCCTTGTCGGTGGCTGCCTTCAACAGCTCGTTGGTTCGCTCTTCCTGCTGCTGGACGGTAGAGGTGCACTGTCTGGAATAGTCCCTGTACCTCTGCCAGAGCTGAAGCAGGGCCTTGCTAGAGTGCAGCTGCTCAGCAATCTCTTCCAGCAAGTTATTCCATCTGGAAATAACAGCCAGCACTCGTGGGCAGATGACAGCCGCTCAAACACCTTATTTACTATCTCATTTTGCATACTCTTGCTTCATGCAAATATGAAAATAATACAGGCATGATTCATCCCTATTTAACGTAACAAAATTTCGCTCATATTTCAGAGGTAGATAATGGCAATCTATGGATACATAGCAGTTCTCATTATTTCTAAACATCTTTACTACATCATTGAATCCATTTTGTGGAGATCAAGATATCCACAGAATAGCATCTATACAGCTCAAGGTCAAAAGTCAGAAACTTTTAACAGTGTTACTCATAATAAAGTCGGGATATGAATATGTATACTTCATACCTCATATTGACTTCTTTTAGTGTGTTGGTAAGAGTTTCTGTCACAGGTGGGTGACATTCTTTTAATAGCTGGTTGGTAACAGAACCGAATTTCTGTAAGCTCCTTTCTTGTTTTTCTAGATCATCATGGAGACTCTGCCCAAAGAAAAGGTCCCATAGATGACATGATATGATTTAAATTACAATAAGCAATATTAAAATAATTTATACGTTTACATACATGCAGAACTTTGCTCCATTGATTAATAAGCTTTCCTTAGATCATTACATCCTTATTTATGATTTTGTTCTTACAGCTATGAGAAGAGATTCCTAGCTACTGAGCCTTCTATAATGCCACCTGGGATTGTGTTGGAAAACATCACATAAAGAAGGATCCTTTTCTACCACCTAGTAGAGGGCGACGGCAGTGGCATGAATCTGTCACGTGTGCTGCTCTTTGACATTCAAAACCAAAATCCAGGTCCCCAGGTCTCTGATTTCTACATACCCAGAGTGGTTCCACTGCAAACTCCTGATAATTAAGATCCTAAGAACTCATAACTTTTATCAGCTATAAATTCTATTTCTGGGTGTTCTTCCTGGCAAAGAATTTGTTTAAAGATTTTTATTTTTAACTGAAAATTATTGTATAAATTTATAGGACACATAGGTTAAGCCACTGCCTGTGACACCAGCATCCCAATTGGCACTGGGCTGTGTTTCAGTTGCTCCACTTCTGATCTTGCTCCCTGCTAACGAGCCTGGAACAGCAGTGGAAAATGACTCAAGTACTTGGCATCTGCACTCATGTGGGAGATCCAGACAAAGCTCCTGGCTCCTGACTTTGTCCTGGCTCAGCCCCAGCTATTGTTGCCATTTGGGAAGTGAACCACCAGATCGAAGATTTTGCTTTCTCTCTCTGTGTGTGTGTAACTCTGCCTTTCAAATAAATAAATCTTTTAAAAAAATTATAGGGTACAATGTGATATTTTTACATGTCTACATTTGGGATGATTAAATCAAACTAATTAACATATTGTCATCTCATGTATTTTATCAATTTTTGTCTGAAAATGTCAAACTCATAGAAACAGAAAGTACAACAGGAGGGGGAGGTGTAGTTTACAGGGTATCTGGTTTGAACTAGACAGCAGGAATAAGTCCACTGATCCACTGCACAGGACTGTCACTGCAATGAACAACAAAGCATTGTATATTTCAAAATTGCTTTAAGCAAAGAATCTTTACTATACAGACTCAGTGGAATCTTCTTCCAAGGACCAGGGAAGTTTTGAGAACTGTAAGAAAGATGTTATCCTAGAAATACAGAACTGATAAGCTCAGTTTTTACAAAATCTCTATAGGTGAAGTAGGGCACAGTAAGTTTGTGTTGCTTAACACCTGTGTCTGATGGCCCTCAACTCCAAACAGTCAAGGAAAAGACCCTTAATCCTTTCATATCTTATGCAGCATTTGTAGGTCATAAACCCAAAAAGTACATGAAATTAAAAAAATACTTATCTTCTCAAACGCAAAATGTGTATTTAAATGGACTATTCTCAAAATAAGTTTCAATAGTCCTTAGTGTCTGCAACAACTCCTGTTTAAAAGAAATCATTTTTAGGTAGTTCATTCCCTCCTCCTTACCAAATTGTTCAGAAAATGTCAGTCCCAGAAGAAAGTCTACAAATGAGGTCAGCCACATATCCACTATAATCGCCAAGCCAAGGATGTGGGATGGATGTAACAAGGGTACATGCTGAGCTTTGCTGGCCTCCCAGCCCCCAGAGGCCTGCTCATCCATCCCAATGTCTGCATTATTTAGCCAAGGAGAAAGAGCAGCATCAGGTAAGTGTGGCCTAGTGCCAGGCATGCAGGGAGTGAGGGCTGCAGCAAATTTGAGGGCAGTGACCTGACATAGGAGAGAGTTTCCTGCTTAAAACAGCCACAATTTCATTCTAGAAAGATGCAATGATAATAGACACATGGGAAAACAAGCAGAAAGTGCTTGCAAATAGGATGGCGTGGACACATCAGACAGGCCTTGGATATTGGACAGAGTGAAGAGTAAACAATGGTATAAACATTTACCACTTTTACTATTTTTCTCTTTGCTTTCTTTAAAATCCCTTAGAATACATTTGTAGAAGCAAGAGAAAAAGAGAACAGGAAGACACAAAAAGCAGTGACAATGAATCAAGGAGGTTGATTTGGGTATAAATTATTTTATAAAATACATTTATTTAGGTATTTATAAAACAGAATTTTAAAGATTATTTATGTACATCCAAGCTAATCAAAAATTTGGTACTCATGGGCAACTTTAGCAATGACGCACGTGAAATTAACTTTAAGATTTAAAAAACAATGAAATATAAACAATATACAGCAATATTCTGGTGTGATGCTCCCAATTGCTAATTTTCCAGGGTTCTCAAATGAAAACAGATGTCAAGACAGAACTAGATCCATTCCTTACCTGAAGATTGTCTACCTGCACCTGCACTGCTTCTAAGGAGCCAGTCAGCAGGCGGAATCGGGACAAAGAATATCTGGCCTCCATGAGGTAACTGTTTATCTCATCAAAGGCCTTTTTGTGATGGCTCCATTGGTCAAGCACAGACTTCAACAGTATCTTCAACTGCCCCACCTTTGGAAACAAACACTGCTTATAATTGCATAATATTTACGATGATGGAACATATAATCAATTCAAAGAAAAACATTAGAAATTCAATATGGCTTAAGGCAAGGAAACTAAAAGAGAAAAAAGAATGAGATAAAATGTAGCAACTTAGAAATTCATGCCCTTAACGACTGAACACTAAGTCTGAATGGAAATGTATAAGGGTGACTGGTAAATACATATATTTTAAAGGGATGATATTGACAACAAAAGTTTGGGAAATGTATTAAGTAACTGTTTTAAAGGCCTTAACTCATTTAATCCTCATAATAATCTCATGGGGTAGGTATAATCATGGTGAACATGACTCAAGACCATACTGTTAGAATCTGAGAGATCTAAATTTAAATCCAGGTAGTCTTTACCCTCACCTGCATCAGAAAAGCTTTCATTTTTGTCTACATCACTTAGAAAGAAGTCTACTTTGGACCTGTTGGATGGCACCACTGATCTTGATGTAATCTTTTGAATGGTGAGTCATAAACCCATAATTTAGAAAAGAGATCATGTAATTAATTTTCATTTGCATTCTTTGCTTTTCTTCTTGGCACAAAGGAAACCGATAAACTCTCTTTTGAGTCTGACAAAAGCAGTGCTGCCTCATCTCAGACAATGCCCATGGATGCTATCAAAGTTGCAAAACACAAATGAAAATAACGATCAATAGAATTTTTAAAAGGGCTATTTTTAATCTTATTTTTGTTTTTCATGAGGAGATGTTTCTACAAAATGCCCACTTTATGACAATTTTTTCCAAAAATGTATCCATTAATAAAAAGTATATAATAAAACAGATTTGGACGCTGTGGCTCACTTGGTAACCAGGACTAGAACCTGGCACCGGCATCCCATATGGGCACCAGGTTCTAGTCCCAGCTGCTCTTCTTCCAGTTCAGCTCTCTGCTGTGGTCAGGGAGTGCAGTGGAGGATGGCCCAGGTCCTTGGGCCATGCACCCACATGGGAGACCAGGAGGAAGCACCTGGCTCCTGGCTTTGGATCGGTGCAGCGCACCAGGGGTAGCGGCCATTTGGGGGGTGAACCAATGGAAGGAAGACCTTTCTCTCTGTCTCTATCTCTTTCACTGTCTAACTTTATCTGTCAAATAATTAAATTTAAAAAATAATAAAACATTTAAAATCAGGTTAAGCATAAGGGAAGGGCAGACTAGAGAGCTGAGAAGAGTGCATAGACCAGAAACCATTGTCAGGTCCCATGGATCCTGGTCAACTTCTTTGTACATCAGCTCCTATCTCTATAAATGTGATTCTTAAGATCCTACACAGTAGCCGGTGCCGCGGCTCACTAGGCTAATCCGCCGCCTTGTGGCGCCAGCACACGGGGTTCTAGTCCCGGTCGGGGCGCCGGATTTTGTCCCGGTTGCCCCTCTTCCAGGCCAGCTCTCTGCTGTGGCCAGGGAGTGCAGTGGAGGATGGCCCAAGTGCTTGGGCCCTGCACCCCATGGGAGACCAGGATAAGTACCTGGCTCCTGCCATCAGATCAGTGCGGTGCGCCAGCCGCAGCGTGCCGGCCGTGGCGGCCATTGGAGGGTGAGCCAATGGTAAAGGAAGACCTTTCTCTCTGTCTCTCTCTCTCACTGTCCACTCTGCCTGTCAAAAAATAAAAAAATAAAATTCAACTAAAAAAAAACTTAAAAAAAAAAGATCCTACACAGTGTGTGTTAAAGACAACTGTGATCTCACACTACAAACTAGTATTTGTTGATTCAATTATTGGAGGGTTTACCAGTTAATTCAGCACATACTTATAAAACTGCCTTTTATGAGTACACATTTAGTGAGAGAAATTTAAATGTACAAGTAGTCAATAGCTATCTTAGCATTTGCTAAACAACATAGATAAAAGCAAAGGAGAGAACAGTTTGGGAGTAAGAAGTGGAGAAGAAAAAAGGACGTCTGTTTTTTAAAAGGTGGTCCTGAAAGTCCTGCCTGAGATGGTGAATTAGGGAGGAGAGGAAAGGAACTGTGCAGATACCTGGGAGAGGCTGTTCCAGGCAGAGGGAACAGCAAGTACAAAGTCACTGAGTGCAATAGGTGTCTGCTGAGTTCAAGTGCAGGGAAAATCAGCATGGCAGAAGCTATAGGAATCTGCCTACCACCACAGGAAGAGGAGAGAGAGTGGAAGCCTGATCAACAGGAGATTTTGAGCAGGAGTGTGGGATGCTCTGACTTCCATTTACTCATACCCTTCCAGCACAGAGACTGTTTAGGAGGCCCTAAAAATAATCAAGACAGGCGATGATAGAGACTGAGACTAGGGTGTTAGCTGCAGAGAGGGGGACAGAGGTCAGAGTAAGATCTAGCCTGAAAGTGCAACTGACACAGTTTTTGTGTGGACAAGATGTGGGATATGGGAGGATGCAAGGAGTAAAGATCAACTCTTCGGAAGGGTAGGGTTGTCATCCAGTGAGGAAGCAGAAAGAGCAGTCTTGCAGTTTGGGCACAGAGTGTGCGATATCTATCAACCACACAAGTGGAGATATCTGCTAGTTGGATTTCTCCTCCTCTGTGTAGAGATTAGAAGAATCCGAGCTAAGGACAGACACTGAAGAATTATCTGAACCTTGATGGGATCTATAGCAACGGGTTGAATAGGATTATTAAGAGTAATGTTTATAATCATGGGCATTACAGGAAACACCTGTATTTATTCTGTATTCTGTTATATTTTTGAAAACAAAGTTAATGAAGTAGACTTAGTATAAAGGGAATAGGTATGAAGTTGACACATATTTACTCAGTTATTTTAGGGAAATCAAAACCCAGAGTTGGGATAGGTGCTGGAAAACAGTCTTGGAGCCCGATGTCCACGGGCAACATTACCATGTGGTCTAAATTGGCCCAGGTCTGGTTGAGCTCCTGCAACGTCGTCGTAACAGTGCCAGAGACTTCTTCTTTCTTGTTCTGAATCAAAGCGAGTCCACTGTGCTCAATTTTCTCTATTTCTTTTTCTTTTGCTTTAATTGAATCTTCCAGATCCTGAAAGATTTTAAAAAATTGTTAAATTGTTATTTTATGGAACTCCAGGGGAGCCACTAGAACTGAGCTATTATAGTTTCCTGTCCTAAAATTTTTTACTAATCCAAAAAGATTATCATTCTCCACAACAATACTTCTACCTACACTTACATGTTTAAAAAAAAAAGTCTTTTTACCCATGGGAAATTAGCATATCTGTTTTGATTATCAACCAGATAAAGAAGTGGTATTATGTAAGGTTTTAAAGAAGATTTAACGTTGGTGTCAGTGTTGTGGCATAGTGGGTAAAGCGGCTGCCTGCAATGACAGTATCCCATCCAGGTGCCAGTTAGTGTCCAGATTGCTCCACTTCTGATCCAGTTCCCTGCTAATGTGCCTGGGAAAGCAGCAGAGGCTGGCCCAAGTGCCTGGGTCTTAGTACCCATGTGGGAGACCAGGAAAAAGCTCTTTGCTCCTGGCTTCAGTCTGGCCCAGGACTGGTTGTTGCTGCCATTTGGAGAGTGAATCAGCTGACGGAAGATCTCTCACTGTATCTCCCTCTCTCTTTGTAATTCTTTTTTTAAGAAAGCTTTTATTTAATGAATGCAAATTTTATAGGTACAGCTTTAGGAATATAGTAGTTCTTCCCCCCATACCTCCACTCCCACCCCCACTACCATCTCACCTCCTACTCCCTCTCCCATCCCATTCTTCATCAAGATTCATTTTCAATTATCTTTATATATAGAAGACCAACTCTATACTAAGTGAAGATTTCAACAGTTTGCACCCACCCACACACAGACACAAAAATATAAAGTACTGTTTGAAAACAAGTTTTACTGTTAATTCTCATAGTGCAACTCAATAAGTACAGAGGTCCTACATAGGGAGTAGGTGCACAGTGACTCCTGTTGTTAACAATCGACACTCTTATTTACAATGTCAGTGATCACCCAAGGCCCTTGTCAATAGCTATCAAGGATATGGAAGCCTTTTTAGTCCACAAACTCTGTCAGTATTTAGACAGGGCCATAAGCAAATTGGAAGTTCTTTCCTCTCTTCAGAGAAAAGTACCTCCTTCTTTGATGGCCCCTTCTTTCCACTGGCGTCTCATTCAGAGATCCTTCACGCAGATCATTTTTTGCCACAGTGTCTTGGCTTTCCATGCCTGAAATGCTCTCATGGGCTTTTCAGCCAGATCCGAATGCCTTAAGGAGGGCTGATTTTGAGGTCAGAGTGCCATTTAGGGCGTTTGTCATTCTATGAATCTGCTGTGTGGACTGCTTAATAGTAACTTATGTTCTTAAATCCATGTGGGTTCATATTCAAAAAGTACACAGCAGAGCTCAGAGCAAGAGCATAACAGAATGGTATTTGGGTCCCCAGTATGTCAGATTCAATCATATTTCTATTTCTGTAAAGCTGTGTCCCTCTGGGTAAGTAAGAAACTTTCATGAAGTCTCAGTTTCTTCACTTAGAAAATCAGAAGACTGGGAGGGATAATCTCTATTAACCTCTGATTCTCTCTAAAATACTCTAATTCCATGATTCTGAAAAAGCAAATTTTCATTTTCTGTGGGGTGTTTATGACTACCAGTATGAAAAGTTCCAGAAAGGAAAAATAGAAGGAGGAAGAGATCTGGAGCTCATAGTTAACCACGTATAAGAATTCTGATATATGTTAATGCCATTTAAAATGTGCAGAGCTCCGTGAGGCAACCTAGGAGTGCCACCAATGTGTTATAGATAAATCAATGGAACATCACGTCATCAGACCTGTCTTGGGTCACAAGTACTGTTGAGGGCTCCTGAGGGGATTAAAATGCAAACCATTCAACTACTAACTCTCAGCCCAACAACAGAGGTAACCCATGTAACAGGAAACTTTGCAGGAGTTGTAAATCACATCTCGGAGTGAAATGAAAAACTAAATATTGAGGCATGGATACATTCCCACGTTCGGGAGTATACTTCCAGAACTGAAAATAGATTTGTAGGAACTGGATGTTAGAAAGGACAAAATTCCAACATATTTAAGTATAGATAATGTTTCAACTGTGTAAAAAGATTTTCACCCCATGAAGATCCCTTTATCAATAAAACTATCAGGACTGGACAATGCTGTTGATGTTAATGAGGAGTCTACTGTCTCATTATACTAATTCAATTTTTGTACCTCTTATTTAATATTTTTGCCCCTTTCATTTTTGTATCTGTTGTGGTTCAACCTTTTAATCTCTCTCAACCTCATTTCTACAACAGATATATTTTTTGCTTATTCCAAAGGAACAAAATGAGATAAATATATATGGAATATGCAAGATATTATCATGTATAGCCATATGATAATCTGCTAAGCTTCAATGCAAATGTATTTATTTTTCTCTCCTGAATTATCATAAAGCTATTTTTGTCTTGGTGCATTAATTAGAAATTCATGAATTTAGTTGCATAAAGAGATCATTTTTGGTTTTTCATACTGTTCTTTCATTTCTATTTTATAATTGTTAATATTTTGACAGCGTTGATAATTACCAGAGAATGAATACAGTGATTACTGGGATTTTAGGTCCAGGTCCTTGACATAGTGCAGAAAACATAATTAATTTTACTATTTAAGGATTTTTCTCTCCCTTTCTCTAAGAAATAATTATGTATCAATCTTAACTTACATTAATAATATGTATTACTTTTTTATTTCAACATACAATAAGCACCACAACCCTTCTAAAATGTCAATTATGCTTCTAAAATTCAACAATTAAAAATTAATTTTAGGGGCCAGTGCTGTGGCATAATGGGTTAAGCCACCATTTGGGTGCCAGTTCAAGTCCTGACTGCTCCACTTCTGATCCAGCTCCTTGCTGATACACCTGGGAAAGCAGTGGAGGATGGTCCACCGATGCTCCTGTCTTCAGCCTGGCCCTGCCCTGGTTGTTGTGGCCATTTGTGGAGTGAACCAGCAGATGGAAGACCTCCCTCACTCCCTCCCTCCTTCTCTCTGTAGCTCTGCCTTTCAAATAAATAAATCTTTAAAAAATAATTTTATTCTTATTTTTCATAGATGTCAACTATGTCAACACATAGATGTCAACACATGATAAAAGACACTACACATACATATGTTGGCATAAGAGCAAAGCCCAGGAAGGAAACAGAATTGAAACATATAGTTTATGCAAAATTAAGATGTCTTTCCTTCTGATAATAATTAAAAAGGTTTCTCTTCCTGATCAATGAAAGAAAAGACCAAGCCTAACATTTTCGTTACAATAAATCATTCTTAACTTGGGTTAACTCAAAAATATCAGTTTTATGTTGGCTGCAATTAATAAATCACTAAAACACTGGAAAAATATTCAAGAGTTTTAAAACAAAGTGAAGCTTGAATCCAGTCACTGATTTAAGTATGCTGGCTTGAATTTCACACTCTGGTCCAAAGGAACAATTTCTCAAAAATGACAATAAATTTTATCAAGGTTTGTGGTGTTGCCAAACAGAACATGCCAGTTAGGCTATTGCGATTTATGTGAGATGTCCCCAAATAACTGTTGTGGGCTACTTTCATTCTGGTTTTTGTTTCAAATAAATGACCTTTCACTTGAAATCACAAATCAGCAGTGGTGCAGAGTCCTCTAAACCATATTCTAAGCTTTCTGCCCTGACGCTGTCTGACCTGACCCTCTGGGAGACTACTCTTTTAAGGAGAAGACATGCACTCAGAAAGAAGCAAAATGGAAAAGCAGAGAGAGAAAAGAATGGGAAAAGGAAAATTATTTTAATGGAATATTTCAATCATCCAGTGCTTAAGTTCATTAGAGCAAAGAAGTTTAAGCAATTAAAATGCTAAGCAATTCAAAATACATTTAAAAATTAACAAAAAGCATTTTAAATTTATTTATTTATTTGAGACAGAAGAAGGGGAAAGGAAGAAAGGAGGGAGGGAGGAAGAAAGGGAGACAGGGAGAGAGGGAGAGAGAGAGAGAGAAAGCACCTATATCTAAGTGTCACTCCTCAAATGTCTAGAACAGTGGGCTGGCCCAAATCAAAGCTAGCAGCCAGGGAACCCAATCCAGATCTCCCACAATTACTTGAGCCTTCATCACTGTTTGCCAGCGGGAAGCTGGAAATAGGAACCAAAGTTGGGTGTCAAACTCAGGTACTCTGATGTGAGACACAGGTGTCTCAACTCTTAGGCTAAACACCTGCCCCCAACAGAGTAACTTAAAACTCGACAAAAGGTATGACTTTCATCTTTAATAGTGAATTTTTGAAATTCTGATTTAGTAGATTTTAAAATTTATAGCTTGAATTGGAAATACTACTAGCCCCTAGAAAACTGGAAATGCAATGAGACTAGTTAATGCATGTTTTTGGCCTTTAATATTTTACAAATCCATCTTCTAAGACATTTTAAATTTCTTATTAATTCAAGGTATTTGTCTAGTTGATGTTTTTGTCATTTTATGCAGCCTCAAAGTTGTAATCGAGGGGTCACGACTGTGAAGCAACAGGTTAAACTGCCACTTGCAACACCAGAATCCCATATATGAGTGCCAGTTTGAGTCCCAGCTCCTCCACTTCCAATTTAGCTTCGTGCTAATGCATCTAGAAAGGCAGAGGAAGATGGTTCAAGTTCTTGGGTCCCTGCTACCCATAAGAGATCCAAAGATGGAGTTCCTGTCTCTTTGCTTTGACCTGGCCCAGCCCTGGCTATTTTAGGCGTTTGGGGAGTGAACAGGCAGACGGTAGATCTCTCTCACACTCTATCATTCCTCTTCTTCATCTCTCCCTGTTTATGGTTTATGTGATGCTCTGTCTTTTGAATGAATGAAAGAATGAATGAAAGAATATTTTTAAAAATGCAACCCATTAGCTAAGGAACCCAACTCTAGGAACCTGAGCTCTTTCTTATCTAGACCAGAAAAAGCTTTGATTAAGAGCATCAGGAGATCTCTTCCCACATGTCCCCAAAAGAAAAAGTGCTGATTGGAAGGGACACCATGACCTAATCCAGTTCTTTTAGCAATCTAGTCTTTTAAAAACCAGGATGTAGGGAGAGGAATTTCCTGCACAATCACTTCACAGTTGACTATTCAGTTGTTCTTGGAAAACACTGCAAGAGAACAGTCATAACTAATCTGTAACACAGTGCAATTAGTGAATTAGCTTAAACAATTTTATTACAGCATTAAGTGTATTTCTCACATTTCTTTCGTATAAACAAGAATACCAGAGGATCAATTACATGTTCCTAAGTTACTGAAAACATTTGAGCTACAAGTGTACCACCTGAATCCTTGGTCCTCCTTACTTACAGTTGGAGACAAGCAGGCTGTGTGTGTCCCCCCGTGACAAAGGAACACTGTTGCTTTGTATACCGTTGGGATACCTACATCCTATCTCAGAGTGCCTGAGATGGAGTCCTGGCTCTGCTTCCAATCCGGCTTCCTGCTAATGTGCCTGTGAGCCAGTAGCAATGGTTCAAGTAATTGGATTCCTGCCTGTCATGCAGAAGTCCAGGTTAGAATTCCTGGCTCTCGGCTTCAGACTAGCATAGCTCCCTCTATTGTATTTGTGGAGTGAATCAGCAGAAAAAAAAAGATTTATCTCCATCTCTCTCTTTCTGTCAAGTAATATTTTTTTAAAGTAGAATGGGAATCCAGTCAAGCCTCTAATGCTAACTTCCATGTATAAGCAATTCAGAGATGATAAAATCAAGTTAAATCACATCTTAAGGAAGTGCACAGGCTAACCCTGAACAATCTAGTTTCAGCAGCAAGTTCTAGTATTAAAGAATATTAAATAGACTTATGAACTATAACAAGCAATGTGGACCCTGTTCATATTCATACTTGAATAAATTAATTTAAAATGCATTTTTTTAAAGATAAGGAAATATGATTATCAACAAGGCATAAAAATACTAGGGAATTATGGTTACTTTTTTTGTAGTGATAATGTTATGATTGCATAAGAAAACACTGATTGTCTAAGATGCATATGGTAGTTTGTAGGAATAAAATGACATGTCTGGGATTTACCATGCAATCTTTAAAAACAAAGAGAATTCAGGAAAATATACTGAAAAATATTGATAGCTATTAAATCTAATGATTATAAGATTCCTGGCATTTCTATTTACAAGAGTAAAAATTTTCATAATTTCGAATTTTGAAAAGCAAGTGCAAAAAACCTACAGTTAGGAAACTCTATAAGTCATATAATCACAGAAATTTGATACCAAATGTATCGATTTAAACATAGTTAACTCACAACTCTCAGGCCTTCAAACTCACTCAGCACATGTGTGGAACAGTGGAAGGCCCATGTGAGCCACTTGGGCAAGTACCTGACAGTCTTTCAGTGAGTTCTGCACTGAAGCCTGATCCCCAACTCGTTGCTGTTGTTTTAGTCTCTTTTCCTGGATTTCAAACCAAGTTTTCAGACATTGTACGTTATTTTCATATTCTGACCAAGATTCCAATAAGCCTTCCAACAGCTGGATCTGAACAAACATAATGACATAAAATTTGAAATTTTATGTTAAGATCAAATCATTGGCAAGCTAATTACTCAAGCCACTATTTTCTCCAAATTAAGAATTCCTAAAATAAGGTCCATTATATATATGATTATAAAAATTCTGTAAAATGTGAATCAAGTGATACTGTTGATAATCAAGAGAAGATTGATGCCAACTTGAAACAAAAATAAAGGAATTAAGAGCCATCTTTAAAAAAAAAATTGAAACAACCCGACACAAGCAAAGAGCAGAAAAGGTGCATAAACAATTAATAAAACTAAATAAATTTAGAGTAATAAAATCCTCAATAACATTATCAGAGGCATTCTGGAGTCCAGTGCAGATATACTGCTCTAGAACTGAGTTTCTCTTACCGACCATGCCTGTTTCGGGGGAGGCAGAGGGGATGCTATGATATATAGGAGCAGCCGCAGGTCACTTGGCTTACCTTCTCACTTACTAGACCTTGCAAGATTTGCCAACTTTTATTCATTGCTCCCAGCTGCTCAGCAAAATCAGTCTTATCACTCCGTTTACTTTCCACATCCTGAGTGCTGATTTGTAGCACAGACTGGTTCACAAAATCAACTGTCAGCTGCTTACAGTTAATGTCTATCTTAAAACCCTAAAAAAAAAAAAAAAAAAAAAAAAGAGGGGGCAGTAACACAACCAGGAATTGTACATGTCAATGCCTTACTATTTTACCAGGAATTAAAAACCTTAAGTGACCTTAAGACTAACATGATAACGTCCATTATTTAGTTCATTTATTCATATGACCTATTATTTTCAAAGGTAAATATTTACCTGTACACACTCATACAAACATATACACAGAGACATATAAATATAGGAGGATGTTTAGCTAGAAGATATAGCACTGGATAGCTTATAAAATCTCACTATAAATACTTATATTATTTGCTTTCATGATTTCCTTGATTTTTAAAAATAACAAAATTATTCAAAATTATTCCTAACACCATACAACTTTTTTTTTTGCCTGTAACTATGGATTCAGTTTTCTTGGTTTTGAATGCCTGTTTGCCACCATTTATGAAACTTATAAGACCTGATTTCATAATTTGAGTTTTGCTCTTTCAAATAAAATGATCTAAAAAGGAAAAAAAGCTAATTACCTTATATTTCTGAAGGTATTCATGAATTGCCTTGTAACCTATGCAATTTTTTATATCCTCTTCATCCTTTTGAATCACACTTTCCATTAGAGAAATCCAGCTCATGACTTCAGAAATGGCATGACGGGAAGGCAGCTTATCCATTTGGAGCTGCACAAGTTCGAGACAGAACAAGACGCAAGTGTCAAAATTCAAACCAAATTCTGCTCACGTAAAAACCCTATATTAATTCACATCATTGTACTCAGAGATAATAACACTTTGCAATGACATTTTCAGATCTTAACCCCATTAGAAGGTTCAAATTAAACATCAAGCAAACACTGAAAGATAATAGTCATTTTATGTTCGCTTGATATCCAATACTATAAACACTGTATAAACATTAACTAATTAATCAAAACACCAGCAAGAAGAAAATATTATTCTTATTTTACAGCTAGTTTTATGAGCTTTAAAAAAACAACTACAAAACACTCAACAGATGTATTTTATTAATTATCTTGTAAAATCTCTGTATTATGACTCAGGAATGTGAAAAGAAGAAAGAAAAATACTACACTACAAGCTATCATTTTCTAGACTTTTGGCACTCTAATATTTATTCCTAAGAGCATAGCCAATTCTCTTAGTCTTTAATAAAATATACTTAGAATTCTGAATATTAGTATATCACTCATTTATGCATATACTTATTATAATGATTTGGAGGGGTAAAAGCAATTATTAAAAATTCACAGATGAACTTCTCTGTGATAATGAAAAACACTGAGATCGACGTGGAGCTGTTTCTGCCTTCTAGGAATGTATAGCTGCTGATTAGGAGAGATGAGGCATACACATTAGACATAGCTCGTACCCAGCAACTTGAGGATGAACGTCACATAAAGATAAAGGTGAAATGTTCTGGAATTTCTGCGGAGATAGGTACATTCCGTACACCAGGAACGCCGACATGGGCCAGATAATGTGTTTTAGTCAATCATAGACCACATATATGATGGCAGTCCTATACATGTTTATCACCTAGTGATGCTGTAGCCACCCTCTTGTGTGTAAATACACCCGGTGATGTTTGCACAATGATGAAATAATGCAAGGAGACATTGCTCAGAACTGCACTTCTGCTCATGACTCCACTACACCTACACTTATTGAATGCCAGTTGCCCTCTTATACACAAAATAATAATCTCTGACATGTGTTATAAATTATCAGCACCACTGACTCTCTTACATTTTATACATGAGAAAACAAAGTTTAAACAAGGCCAAAGATTTCAATACATACACACATACAAACACACACAACACGTTAAAGAAATGTCATCTGGGCAGGGCTTTGGAAATAGTTCATTTTTAATATATAATGAGATAGAAGAAAGAAAAAATAAGATCTCTGAGCCAAAACTGATTTAAATATGTGAGTAAAAGCAGATTAACATGGTTCTCCATTTAATATAGCTTAAATCATTTACTCTCAATAAGGCCAATCCTTATTTTTCTACCTGGTGGAGCTTTTCTTGGACAGCTGGGATATTTTTCAGTAGCTCGGTCCACTGGTTGTCAATGTGACACAGCTCAGCACGCAGGGCAACTGTGTCCAACTTCTTTAATCGAAGAAGCTGATTTCCAGTGCTCAGGACAGATGACTTCAGGGAAGATTTGGCATCCACTTCTTTAGAAAACTCCTAAAAGAAGTAGCAATGTTTGCAATAGGGCTAAATAGTCAGATATTTCATGTAAGGAAAGCAACCAATTTAGTGAATAAAACCATTTTCTCTACATTCTGAGGCTGGAGTTGTGTTGGGTACTCCAGAGGAACACCAAAGCAGCACACTTTGCCTTCAAATAAAAGCCAACTTCAGCGGCTGGCGCTGTGGCATAGCAGGTAAAGCTGCATGCTGCCTGCAGTGCAGACATCCCATATGGGCACCAGTTCGATTCCTGGCTGCTCCACTTCTCATCTAGTTCTCTGCTATGGAATGTGAATGCAGTGGAAGGTGGCCCAAGTCCTTGAGCCCCAGCACCCACGGGGGAGACATGGAAGAAGCTCCTGGCTCCTGGATTCGGATTAGCACAGTTCTGGCTGACACGGCCAATTGGGGAGTGAACCAGCAGATAGAAGGCCCCTCCTCTCTCTGTGTAACTCTTTCAAGTAAATAAACTTTTTTAAAAAAAAGTCAACTATGAAGTCGCTACTTAAAAACTATGTTAAAGAGGCAATGTTAAGTCCCTGAGCCCTACTATTTTGTATAATTATTAAACACATAAAATTAATACAGACAGGTTAGTTTAAAATACTAAGCCTTTGACAGCCGATTTCCTTGTTACCGATATATGGGTCAGACCTTGCCTATATATTTGAAAACAATGAAATCAAATCAAACGCCTTATATTCTCAGACTTACCAGGAAAGCATTGAGATGATCGCGGACCATCTCCAGTTCTTGTGGGACTGTCACAGATTGCTGAGCCCAAAATTCTAGCCTGTCTCTTGCTGACTGTAACCAGTGACTCAGATCTGCAGACTCCCGTTGGTAACTGCAAGTATATTAATGAGTTAAGTAAGTAAGCTTCCAATCCCCAACTTTTTCTTACCCATGTTTGTTGAGTGTTTTCAAACTAGGGACACACAGTAGACTCAGAAGAAAAGTACACTTAGTTGTTACTCTAACACTCTTTTCTCTTAACATCCATGCCTTGATAAAGGCAGTCTCTCCAAGTTTCAGCTTTCCTACCCCTAAGCTGAAAAATAAAAATAGCTTTCTCCCCCTTCACATGGATGTTGCTTAGAAAATATTAGAATTCTTGCAAAGAAAAGTAGTATTGATAGAGTGTACTATCACATTCCAGGTAACCCTTGGATACTTCCCATTGCCCCCTAAGAAACTTGTCCTTAGTTCACACTTCCTTTTGTTTGTCTTCTAAAGCTTTCCTATGGGACTCCCTCTCACCGACCCCCATCCCAGCAATAGACTATGTAATGGAGGAGGACAGTTGGAAAGTTAACTGCATTGTCCATCTGTCTCCCTGCCCAGTTTTAATACTAGATTTATGACTATACAAGACTCCAACTAGTGACTTTCTAATTATCTTTATTTTCCATACCATGCCATAAATTTCTAGAGGGACCACATCTTTTCCAAGTCTGATACCCAATAGCCTGATGAATACACTGCAATACTTATGTAAAAATATGCAAACCAGTTACTATATGTGTTACCTGGTCCAGTGTTTCAATATTGTTTCCAGTCTGTGAAGTTCCTTGGACACCTTGTTGGTATTATTTAGCCAGTGCTCTCCAAGTTGATTTAGCTGGCTTTCCAGATCTGAGCAGCTAACGGATATCAGAAGTCGTTTCCCATCATCTAATACCTGATACAATTTGGGCTGGTATTCATTAAGACTGGATTTTAAATGCTAAAACAGATAAAAATATCAGGTTAAAAGTTTGGATAGTGCAATTTGTTTAAGAATTATAATTTCTGTGGTGCTTACACTGTTCAGATTACCCATAATTTAAACATAAATGATTTGTACCTAGGTAACATTGAAAACATTAAGACATTTCATCCGTATCATCCATATCTAGTTATAGATGCTCTTTCTTCTGGTAGTAACTTTAGGTGCCTTTTTTACAACTGCCAAGAATAATGTGACAACAGCATAAAATAGTGAAAATGCTTAGTAGGGTCTGAACTTTCAAAAAGAATTCTCTTTAAAATAAAAAAGGAAGATCTGCTTTCAACATGTTAATAACTTGAAAGCGCAAGGAGTTAATAAGGCATTTGCTTACACGTTTGTCTAAATTCCTTTAGCATTATTGGGCACTTTCAATGGAAATACAGCAACTTGTCATCCCGAGACATCCCCAGACACAGACCTGGTAGAGCACGATCCGCTCCCTGAGCCTGTCCTCTCTTTCTTCCACCAAGCCCACGCTCGGAAGGCTGCTCTCCACCAGCGCCAGCTGTCTGCTCAGCTCCTGCTGCTCTGCCTCCAGATGAGACCACGTCTAGAAACACAATACTGTCTGTGAGCTAAAAATCCTCATGAGAGAAAAAAGTGCACTCGATACATTCTCTTTCAAGTCGTCAGGGGTGTTTGTGTGGGGATTGCTTGGGGGAAGCAAAACATGGCTCTGAAGCAACTAATCAGCTGGTGATTCTTTAAAGCCCCATGAATGGGCACCGGTGTCTGCAACTAATCAGCTGTGTGACCACGGGAAAGATATTAAACTCCTGTGACCCTCATTTCCCAGACATTAAAATGGAGGTAATAATACTGTCTTCTTCATAATGAGAACTAACTGGAATAATGTATGCCATTATGGGGTATGGGGGATGCACAGTTTCATTTTTTATCACAGTAAGGGTTTAAGTCAAAGAGATAGTTTACTTTTCATGTAGCAAGTGAATGAAACACATTCCATTTGCACATAAATTGAAAGCACAGCTTTCAAAAACTCAACATATAACAGGCATTGCTGTGAGGAAAAATGTCGTGTCACTTATTCCTAAATTCAGATTTTTATGTTATGTAAAACTAGAAAAAAACGTTTCTAAAAAAATCAGTTGACATTTTTTTCTCAATTTTAAGCAAGACTCAACAGTTTTAAAACATGTGTATGTTCACTTCAATGTGCAGGTGGAGTGGGAACAGGGCATAGCATGGAAACCTGTGCTTTTTCCCACAAGCTTACTAAATAAGTATGGCCATGCACTGTTTGAGGCCTTTAGACCAAACAAAATAGGAAAGATCTCTGATTTAGTTAAGTTAACATTCCAGTGAAGGGAGATAGAATATCAACAATACACAATACACCAAAAAAAAAAAAAAAGTAAAATTGATGGGCTGTTAAAGAGTCCTTGTGCTCAGGTCTTTGTGCGAAGGCTGTAATTTCAATGGCATGATCAGGTAGATCTCACTGATCTACAAAGTTCAGGCCGTGAAACCAGACAGATAGGTGTGGTTTCTGGCTCTGACACCAATTAACCACGTGCCTTAGCAAGATAGTGCTTGCAGACGCACTCCCAGAAGAGAGATTCACACAGCATCTTAGAGAGTAAAATGACCTCAATGGATTCATCTGCAAATCAAATGTCTTGCCTGACATATATTGTTAAATACTGACTGTTCTCACAAATATTTCAAATATTAAAAAGAAATTTCTCTTCAGACTCGAGTAGATTGGGGAATTCACAACTGGCCTGCATGTGTGTGGGGTTAGCTAGCTATGACAGTGTTGGCCCAGAGAAGAAGATAAGACTTAGAAAAGTATAAATATGAGAGTACTTCAAAATGGTCATGGGAAATGAAATTAAAAGATGTTTTGTTGCAAAAAATTTTGAAATCCATGAATTCATGGGGCCGGTGCTGGGGCGTCGCAGGTAAAGCCGCCACCTGCGGTTCTAGCATCCCATATGGGCACGGGTTCAAGTCCCAGCTGCTCCATTTCTGATCCAGTTCTCTACTGCTGCCTGGAAAAGCGGTAGAAGATGGCCAAGGCCTTGGGCCCCTGCACCCATGGCGGGAGATCCAGAAAAATCTCCTGGCTCCTGGCTTCGAAGTGGTGCAGCTTGGCTACTATGGCCATCTGGGGAGTAAACCGGCAGATGGAAGACCTCTATCTCTCTCTGCCTCTCCTTCTCTGTGTAACTCTTTCATATAAATAAATAAATCTTTAAAAAAAAGAAATCCATGTATTCAAAGAGTTTTCAAAAAGTAATAGAAAATACATGCATTAATTCTAAAAAATTCCCCCCCAAAATAAATTTATCCTTTAATTCCAATATTTCAGACTTTTTGAAGTCCCACCATACATCCTATAAGCAATCTAAGACTGGTAGTATCTGGGAAATGGATGAGGAAGAAAGGAAGAGATATAATTTCAAAAACTTTCATGGGAAAAAGGAAGGATGTGAAAGCAGAAATAGTTGAGGGCAACGACCTGGTTACTGAGAACAGGAAAATGTTGTTTTGGCATTGCATTTACCCAGGTTGCATAGATTACCCATCAGTCTCTGCTGAGCACCAACTATGTGACCAGGGCATACATTTGTGGTGAAGCTGAACTCCACTTCCAAGTCCATCTGACTCTACAGCAGTAGCCTGAGAACTTATTTTGCAATGGTCTAAGTAGCAAATATTTTCAGCTTTGTCTCAACTACTCACATCTCTCTCTAGAGAGTGAAAACAGCCACAGATAACAATGAAATGGTTCCAACTTTGTATATTCCAACAAAACTTTACAAAAACAGGCAGTGAGCTCTATTTGTCCCATGGCCCAGCCTTGGTTACAGACTATTTCCCTATCTTCTTACCTACAAGATCTAGCATATGAAACACCATTCCCTTCACCGAGAAGACTTGCCCTGTTGTATTGGTTGTCTGTCACCTGTCTGTTGCCTCACCAGTCCATGAGCTTGCTGAGACCAGAGTCCTGGACATTTGCAGCCTGCATTCCAAGTATCTGGGAAACTGGTGGCAGTTTGATAAACGCTAAATGAATACATGCTTGATTCATTCATTTACAAAGAATGAGTGTCTGAGAGTGACTAAATAAATGTGGGAATGTAATTGGTGACAAGGAAGACAACAAACTCAAGGTGATCCAGGTGAACACTACAAATGACTCTGACAATCTGGGTCCATGTTTTCTGATTTCAAGCCAGTGTTGCCAGGCCAAATGGACCCTTTATTTTCTGCTTTTGGAGCACAAAGACCCAGACTCAGTTGCTGTCCTCTAGACCCTGAACACCAGGGATAGAGCTTATCTAAGCAGTCACTGAAGTCGGGACACTCCTAGGGATATATTTCTACATTTTTTCGCTCATAATTCAGCCATCAGTCTGAACATCAAGAACCCACCTCTCTCCATGCACAGTCTGATATCAGTATTCACCTAGCAGACTTAACAGTAAGGGGCAGCATATACCCAAACGCAAACAGGAAATACAAGGTAACACATATGTAACAACAGAGCAGCACAATCCGGAGTCAGAGAGCGTGGCCAGTTCCCAGGCACCGCGTATCACCTAACACCACTTGGCTTGCAGGTCTGCTCTGCCATGGGGAGACTGCAGCAGGGGAGCTGCCACACCCACAGACTCACCTCCAGAATGTACTCCAGCTCCACACCCCTCTTGTGAGCCTGTTTCAGCACAGCAGATGCCTGAGTCATCAGCTCCGTGTGGAACTGGGTCTCCTTTGGGACTGCAAAGCTGATTATCTTTCTGAAGAGTGTTTCCGTCAAGATCATATGAGATTCCAGGCCCTGAAAATATTCCTGCAAATTTTTAGGTAGAAAGTGATCAGTGACTCATTTATACAATACCAGGTGATAAAAACGGTCTCGGGTGCAAAAGTTGATAGAAGTCAATCAATACCCAACCAATACCTCTCTACGGCACTCTGCTCATCCTCACTTTGCCCAAGCACTAACTGTTGGATGGGGAGATGGATTCTACTGTCCTAATCAGCTTCTGTTGTCTCTGCATTCAAGTGCATCTACTCACTGCTGTGCACAGACCAGTGTCCCTTGAACAAAGATCGCTATATGGGAGCAGCTACTGAAAAAAACTCCCATGTTCTCTTAATACCACATCCCTGTGCCCTCTGGCCTTCGACCTTTGGTGACACAGTTTCTCACTAACTCCATCAGACCCCTAGCTGCCAGCGTGTGCCATCGGAATGCCTCACTCCCAGTTTCTCATCTTTGGTCTCTGTCACACTGTTCTTCAGATGTTCTCGGTTGACATTCACTAAGATCCTCCTTCCTCCATGCCTGGGCTTCAGCCTGACTTTTAAACTTCCAGAGTGTTTGTCATGCTTATTACTTTTGCCAGGCATAGCTTGACATACACTGTTTGCTAACAAATATTTTAAAATTGCCCCTATTATACTTATACATAATAGAATCGTAGGCCTTGTACAACCCTACAAGTATTTTTGAAATTCACTTTTATGTGTCATAGACCCTGGAGGATGGAGATAAGGCCAATCTTATATCCTATCCCCAAGACCAATAACAGTAACTAATTGAGTGTCTACTATTTGCTTGCTGTTCCTTCAACACATTACCTGACTCATGCTGTCACTGAAACAACTCTTCAATCCTCGGTGGAGATAGGTGGCTTTATTTCTCACTTTTCCAGATGAGAACTCTGAACCACCAAGACCCTGTGGCTTGCCCAAGCCACATTGTCAACTGTGGCAGAGTTGGGGTTTGAACCTGGGCTATGTGGCTATGTCTTTGTCCCTCACCTGCAGACTGCAGAATTCTCTCTCCCAGAAAATGGACAAGTCAATAGAAGCTAAAATCATTATTTTAAATTGACAATTATTTCATCTTAGAATTTTAAAGTTGCAGTTGATCTTGGAGGTCATCTAGTCCCAACCTTCAATGAAAGCAGAGGTTCCTTTCACAAGGCTACCTCCCCTGACATCCTTGGCCTGACTTCTTATGGTCAGGAGAGCCTTTTGTTCATAGGCATCCCACTCTTAGCATACTTCTTTTCTTGAGGTTTATTTCCCCATTATTTATACTCATTGATCCTAGTTTTGCCTCTGGAATAACTCAGAATGATCTTTTATTGCGATGGTCATAGTTGAGAAAAAACAGCTGTGAATTTTAAAGCAGTGTTTTCAAAGCCAAATGATAAAGCCTCAAAATACCATAAAATTTGGACAAAAGTCTCTGGGGAAAAAAATAGCTAAAAGTACAATTCCCTCTCACTTTTCTCCCCAAGCCCACCATTTTTAGCCACTGAAGAGCTGCCGAATGTACAGGCTGTTAACCAGCTGTAACCCAGTGGGACTTTAGGTTTCCTTACAGGGAACTCCCATAGTCTGGGAGGCTAGCTTTGTGGACTGGCAAACTTTGCATGTTCTTTTTTAATATGCAGGAGAGAGGGAGAAAGGGAGAGAGAGAGAGTGTGTGTGTGAGAGAGAAAGAAACAGGCATCTCTTTACAGAGCAGTAGTATCTAAGCTGAGTTTGCTCACAGCACACGCAGATAGTGTCAGGCCCGCCCATTTTGTTTACATTGTATGAGGACTCCGTGTCCCCAAGAAGAAACTCTGAGGCCTACATCAAATAGAAGTGCATGCATTTAAAGGTCAGAAGAGTCAACTGATCCATGGAATAGACAGGAACCCCGTCCCCAAGCTGAATGGGCAGCTCTGCATTCCCAGAGCAGAGCGAGAAGTCTTTGATCAAGAAGAGGCAGGGCAGAGAGAGCATCTGGCATTAGATACACAAGGGAGCACAGGGTAAAAAGCAGGGGAAAGACTGGAGCTGCAATCCTGTGAAAAGAATCCTTGAGTCTCCCCTTGATTATAGTTTATGTAAGGGAAACGCCTGTCTAATAATAGTGAGGAACTAACTGAGAAGAAAAATTTCTGGGCTTGAATATGCATCTGTTGCCCTTTTAAAAACTAAAGCATAAAGGAGGAACTCAAAAAGGACACAGTATTAGGTTTTAGTAAGTATATATCATGATTTGAGAACATACTCTCACAACCACGCTTCTCTCTCATTTTTTACCTTGTGTTTGTCCAGCAGTTGCTGGATTTCCTCGTTGGAAGACACAATGATCTTCTGGTCCCCTGCCATCTTCTCCCGGCCAGTTTCAAGCAGGTCAGCCAGATCCTGCAGGGCCCTTTCGTACTGACTCTTGAGTGCAAGATTCTGATTGAGACCACTCCGCCGGGAGCTGATGGTCATCATCAGCTCGTCATACATGTCCTGAGAAACAGAGACCAGCACTCACTCTCAGTCCAGACTCCAGCCCCGCCTTTCACTGCCTGGCACTTGCACGGAAGCACCTTCAGGTGTGTGGCGCACAGGGCTTCTGCACATGCCAGTCATCTGCCTGCTTCTCTTACGAGCCTCACTTGGAAAACTTTTTTCCAAAGAGATAGGCTTTGGATCTCTGTTCCCAAGCCTATAATATATGGTTTATATGATTGTTGTATTAAAAGATTTTGAAAACTTGGTAGTTCAAGTTATCTTATTAATATTGTTTAGTATTTTTTTTTTTTGACAGGCAGAGTGGACAGTGAGAGAGACAGAGAGAAAGGTCTTCCATTGCCATTGGTTCATGCTCCAATGGCCGCCGCGGCCGGCGCACCATGCTGATCAGAAGGCAGGAGCCAGGTGCTTCTCCTGGTTTCCCATGGGGTGCAGGGCCCAAGCACTTGGGCCATCCTCCACTGCACTCCTAGGCCATAGCAGAGAGCTGGCCTGGAAGAGGGGCAACCGGGACAGAATCCGTGCCCTGACCGGGACTAGGACCCGGTGTGCCGGCGCCGCTAGGCGGAGGATTAGCCTGTTGAGCTGTGGCACCGGCCTGTTTAGTATTCTTATCTATTCTTTCTTACTTTGAATTTTTATTTTATTTTCAATTGACAGGTAATAAAGCAAAACAGAAAATGGAAAAAAGAAGAGAACTGTATTTTTAAAAATTTAGGTATGGAGTTACTAAGGAAGAAGATTATATATTCAATAAATAACCTGGAAACAAGTTAACTATTTGGAGAAAATTTGTGTCATAAACCAAAATATAATTTATATTGATTTTTAAGAAGTAAATAAAATTTTTAAAAATCTCAGAGAATAAAAATTTGTTGATAAAAATAAGCTTCATATTTTAAGATTCAAAAGATATACAAAGTATTTCCTAGGGGCTGGCATTGTGGTTCAGTGGGTTAACCTTTGCCTGCAAAGTCAGATCCCATATGAGCACCAGTTCAAGTTCCAGCTGCTCCATTGCCAATCCAGCTCTCTGCTAATGCAGAAGATGGCCCAAGTACTTGTGATCCTGGCTCCTACACGGGAGACCCAGATGGAGTTCCAGGCTACTGGCTTTGGCTTGGCCCATACCTGACCATCAAGGCCACTTGGAGAGTGAACCAGCAGATGGAAGCCCTCTCTCACCAGCTTTATTTCCCTTTCATTTCTCTTTCTCTAACTCTGTCTTTCAAATAAATAAATCTTTTTTTAAAAAAATTATTTTCTATAAATGGCACATGATGTGGATTTGACCACCATTTTCTCAGGGTGTCAATAATTTAAGGTGGTGAGTTGTAGGGTGAAAATGTTGAAAAATTCTCCATGTGACTGAGGGAGATGTCATAGAAAATGGAATTCTAACTTTTATAATGTTCTCAATGTTTACATAATTTTAGAGCAATTGAAAACAGTATCCTTAACACTCCTGTTTGCTATATAATAATCAAATTTTGAACTATGCCTCAAATAGAGTATTAGACACACAGATGAGCTTAATGTGAGGAGAAAGACTTAAGTTTGAGAAAGGCAATGTTTTTGCCAAATGTGGTAAATAACTATTTAAATGGGAAAGATATTTTAAAAGATGATACACCAAAACAAAATTCATTTGAAGCACATGAACTTAATTAACGTATCATATTAAGGTTTAGCCAGCCAAAATGTTTCAAGCTGGACAAATTCAACTTTAATGCCTTTTTACAGCTATGACGTTTCACTGTTACACCTGATGCTGAAGTGCTGTCAGAAAATAATCAAGAAATGCGCACAGCGGAGACTGCTGGCTTATGACTTTGTCAAATATTCAATAAAAGAATGAGCTAGTTAAAAGAAAATGTAATGTCCTATCGTTTATGAGAGCTATTTCATTCCTTTCTGAGAGACAGAACTTGCAACCTCATCCTGGACTTACACTACTAATCCTTAGCTGTCTTGCAATGAGGCATGCAGAGAGAATTCTAATGTGTATGCATGTGTGTGTGTGTGTGTGTGTGTGATTACACACAGCTCAACATTGCTTTTTCTTAGTATAATGTAACCACATTGCCTTTCAGATGGTAATTTTCACTGGTCTGCCATCCCAGTATCTTCCTGCCACCAGATAATCAGATTCCTGTCTACGTGTCAGATCTTAGAAAGCAAACTAACCCCAAGTCCTATTGTATTTTCCTGAGGGATGCTGAGAAGTCTGTTTAGATTTCAACTACTTTCTAGTTTAATTATTTTTGTTATTGTTACAGAATTGAAACAATGTCTCTATTTCTTTCAAACATGCACAAAAGATAAACAGTAGTTTTCAACACCTTAGAAACATTTTCTTAAAAGTATTAACCTGAATATTATTTCCTTATATTAATTTTTGGGAAGACAGTAAGTTTCTCTAGGTAGGATTGATAGTTCTTACATTTTCTAGAGCAGAAAACAATGCTTTAACCAAACTAAACCAGAATGTTTAGCCATCAGAATAATGAAGTAAATAAAAAGTAAATGTCAAAAAATAAATATAATCTCCAGAAACATGGGAACACAATTCATTTTATTGTACTAAATATGGTAAAAGTTTTAGAAAACTTTCTAAAAGTTACTTGTAAGGAAAGTTAAGGCCAAAATGACATGAAATATATAAACAAAACTAGGAAGAGTAGAGAAACTACTTTTTTTCTCAACCTCAAGTTAGGTTGAACTGTTGAAGTACAATACTAGTGGTTGAAAACTGTACCTGAAGTTTAGAGAGTTCTTGCAAGGATGGCTGCTCAATCTGCAGCTTGTCTCCACGCCTTTTTAATTCAATGATTCCTGCATCCAATTCCTTTAGTCCATCTTCTGCCTGTTGTATTGCCTATGTGAGATTCGTGACATTTCATTAAAACTCCCAAGAACATGACACAAAATGTGAGTATTAGGTCTATCTGGTCCTCCTCCTTACACATACATACACACACACTCAAACACACAGAAAAGGAGTCATTTCAGCCAAACATCACTGTGACAGCTATACATTTGTTATGCTATGGATCAACTACCTTAAAGGAAAAGAGACAAGAGATTTAGAGTGGATAGACTGGAGAAAATAGCTTCCTTAAACAAACTAGGATATTTGTGAATAGCACTACATAAAACCGAACCGTGATTTAGAACATAGTTAGGAAACAGCATTTGCCTGAGACCTTCTGGAGGACTAACTCAGGGTTTCCTGAAATGCAGTTGTGAGCATCTGTGGAGAGAGATTCAGTGAGGAAAATACATTACAGCAGGGTCCAGGAATGCTTGCTCATTGTCATGAAGCAGAAAATCAATCAAGTACTAAAGAGGTTGCTATTGTGAAACCGTGTCTTCCCCGTGTGAGGTCTATAGAAAGAGAACCTCATCTTGGACATTAGGGAGCTGACAATCTGGTTGGGAAGTGAGAGGAAAACAAAGCAGGCTGCATACAATTAAGGGCTAAATTTGATGATGCAACTCACTCATCAGAGGCATTTGGAGAGGGGAGATACCAGGTCAGTAAATCTGGACGAAGTAAGCTTTGGGAAGAAGAGCAACCTCAGTTGCCCTCGAAGGATGAAAGGAACTGGACTCCAGATGGCAGATGGAACACATGTGTCCAATTTCTCTTTTCTGAAGACCCACGACAACCACAGCAAATATTCTGTTTGCTTGTTTTTGGTGTGTTTTCTCCCCATAAATCTACAAAGACAAGGGCGATGGGAAAGAAGACAATACCAACCCCAAAGAATGCTGGAAGCTGGGATTCAGAACACGAGAACATGGACTTGGGGAATCTAAGGAGCTGAAGGCTACTCCAGCAGATGATCTCCACTTGGAGCATCGGAAATGTCTGGAAGCCTGAGTGAAGTGGGATGCACTGCTAAACAAGGAGGGCTAGTGAAAAGTTACTTAAGGAGCAGTTAAAAACTCAAACCCCCTTCCTCATTCCCCATTGCCCTCTCCGTCCTTGCAAGATTGAAAGATCACTTCCTGGAGGAGGTAAAGCGGCCTCTGGACTTAGGGGAAACAGACACGATGGTGCATGTAAGTGCTTGAAAGCTGGAATGACGTAACGGAATGTCAGTGCAGTGCTGTATGTGGGGTTCCAAAGTCTTCTCTCAATCACGACATGCTGCAGTAAGGCCACATAGAGGGCATACGAATGGGATACATTCTCAGATGCAGGGCCCACCAACCTACTCTCCAGTAAATCTCAGAATTGTCAGTGCCCATCCATGCATAGAGTACCCAACAGCTCTTAGTCCCCCACAATAAATGTAGACAACGAAGGATTTCCATATACCTAACATGAAAGATAGAAACCAAAATAAGAAAACAAAAAATAATATGGAGTGAAACATACTATATGAACATTTTTTAAAGAAAATCAACAAATCATTAGTTACCATAAATGCATCAGTTGAAAAACAGAATGCGATAAATTTAAAAGAGGGTCATTCAGAGAACTAATGAGCTTGGGAAATAGTCAACATGTGAACAGTAATGCAAAATTCAGTGGGGCCAGTGCAGTGGTTTAGCAGGTAAAGCCACCACCTGTTGTGCCCACATCTCACATGGGCACTGGTTCTAGTCCTGGCTGCTTCACTTCTGATTCCAGCTCTCTGCTTTGGCCTGGAAAAGCAGAAGACGATGGCCCAATTTCCCTGGGCCCCTGCACCCATGTAGGAGACCTGAAAGAAGCTCCAGGCTCCTGGTTTGGATCAGCCTAGCTCTGGTCATTATGGCCATCTGGGGAGTGAACTGGCAGATGAAGACTTTTCTCTCTCTGCCTTTCTGTAGCTCTGCCTTTCAAACAAATAAATCTTTTAAAAAAAAAAAAAACTTAGTGTAAGAGTTTGGGGTTGAGATTGAAGATGTCAAAAATAGAGAAGATTGCAATAAGAAAATTAAAGGACTGGACCAAAATATTTAACATCTAACAGAAAGGAATTTCAAAAAGGATGACAGATAATATAGAGAAAAGTATTAAATAAATCATTAGAAAACTTTCCAGAATGGAAAGATGAGCTGACAAATCAAAAAAGCCCATTGACCTACTAGCAGATAAAAATAGACTCTCCCCAAGGCGTGGGACTGTGAAATCTCAGAACACTGGAGCCCCTTGGGAACTAGGACAATTGTAGATTCCTCAAGCCAATATTTGAATCTAGAAAACAATGGAGTAAATGCGTCCAAGCTCCAAAATAAATTGATTTCAAACCAGGAATTACACAAAAAGCCAAGCAATCAATAAAGCTTGAGCATAGTTTAAGAAATTTTCAGACATACAAGAACTTAAAAAAATATATCTCTTTCTTAGGAAGGATGTACACCAGCAAAACAAGGAAGCAATACAGTAGAGAGAAAGACTTGGGACTCACAAGGAAAGATTCAATAGGACAAGTGAAAGGAATTCTCAGGACAGTGGAGAAGGAAGAGCCTGAGAAGACAGCTGTGTAGCAGGCCTACTGGGCAACAAATCTCAGCCTGGAACAAGACTCAGCGAGGAACATATTTATTGAGGGTGTCATCCTCATGCCCTCTGATGCCATCTTTTTAACCCAAAGAAGGTAGGGGCAGAATCAGCACATTCATCAGTTGCTTTCCATTGATTCAAAGAAGCAATTGTTTATTCCTTACTAATTGTTTACTCCTTTATATGTGACATTAGTCATACTGTTCAATAATTAATAAAAATACTATATATCACATTAGAAATTCAATACAAGAAGACATCACTATAGTTGTTCAAATCTTTTTTGGAATCACCCACATTATAAGCCATAAACAAACAAACATCTCTTCATACGGAAGATCTGTCATAAAAATCATTTAATTTGGGGAAAATGAGGAATTGGTTTCTTTAAAAGCAGATTATATTATGGTCAAGAAAAATGCAGAGTCAACAATTCTGTGAACTATTTCAGGTGATCTCTCTTTCAGAGGATTCTCTATTGTCTATCCAGAGATCCCTTGGGGTCCACTGAAATTATGTTAAGAATATTTATTAGTGCACGTCTGTGTGATATTCACTTAGCTTATGAAACATGAGATACTATGTAGCCTTCCTCCCAAGTCTTCTCTTTTCTCTGGTTTGAGTTCTCATTCTTTCTCATCAGAGAGGCAGCTACAGGAAGCCTCATGAAAGATCTGCCTTGATCCTGGTTGCTGTCAGGCCAACTGCCCATAGCAGATCTGGAACTGACACTCATTCTCACCCTCAATATAATATCCCCAGTGACTGTTCACTGCCAGTGGTCCCTGAGGTGACAAGCACCCCAAAGTGTACAAGACGATCTACCAGGATGAACTGCCACATCTTTGACTTACATTCAACCACATCATCATAAAATGTCATTAATGCCTATGTTTTATGAGATACTTTAATAACCACACATAATTTATAACTAAGTAAATATATGCATGCATATATTTGTGATATGCTTTTTATAGTATAAATATATAAGTATAGAGACCACTGGTTTATCTAATAAAGTCCAAAGTCTCTGATATTTACTAGACCCTACAAACTGCCTCAAATTTACTCACCCCATCTTATTTTCAATTTTTAATTTATTTTTATTTTTGAGAAAATATTTTTAGCCAAAGGCTTAATGTCCCCAATAAATAAAGTGTTCAATAAATAAAAAGTAAACAGACCATATTTGGCCAGGAAAACAGGCAACGGCTATAAAACACAATCAAATCGAAAGATGTTAAATTTCCCTCACATGAAGTACACTTTCAAGTAGTCACAAAATCACCAAAAGTATTCAATAATATCATCCTAAATTCAGATGAATAAGATTACTTGTGTTCCCTAAATGTTAAGAATTTCCTAAAGTTTGCACTATATATATAAATGTTCTTGCTGTCTGCTGTTTTGATATTCTCTTCTCCAGTCACCATGTGTACAAATTTCCAATTTACTGAGTTTCCTTCTATAAAGTCTTGGTTGATTTTACCCTGGTAGAGACAACCTGCCCACTTCTGAGAGTCCACAGTAATTCCATGTATCTTTTCAAGGCCAGTTTGACTTTCTGTCCTATATCATCGAGTTTCATATTAATCTCATTATTGGGTGTCAAACTCCAGGTCAGCATTGGTGACTGATATCTTTTCCTAACTCACATTTCCTAGTTCCATAAAGAAGTAGTGATGCAGTCAATGTCACTCTGTTACTCAAATCTAGTACTCAAAAAATGTATGACACACAAAAATGCTGTATGATGTCACCAATTTTTCACAGAATATTTGAATTTCATAGTAAATCAGATCTCTGCATTTGCTCTTGCAGGAGGAAGATGTAAATACCTCCATCTGTTGTGCTACAGGCTGTTCGAACACATTCGCCAGTTTCTGCAGAATGATGTATTTGTTGTCAGTCAGCGATGCAAACAGCACCTTCAGATCATTCTAAGGAAGAAAGCAATAGGAAGAGATTTTGGAACAAGGAATTCAAACATATAATACATATTCTTACAAATATACGCCAGGGTCCCTTGGTATCCTCGGGGAAATGATTCCAGGACCCCCTGTGAAAAACATAATACCTAGATATTCACGTTCCTTATATAAAATGGCACAGTATTCGTATATAATATATGCAATCTTTCCATATACTTTAATTTTTCTTTTTACTTATGTGACAGGGAGGGAGGGAGAGTGAATGGGAGAAAGCAAGGGTCAGGGTGACTATCACAATGCTGGTTCACTTGCCAAAGTCTGCAAAGCCAGGAGCCAGGAATTCAATCTGTGTCTGTCTATGGGCAGCAGAAACCCAATTACCGGAGACAACATCTGCTGCCTCTCAGAGTCTGCATTAGCAGGAAGTGGGAGCCACAGGTGAGTACTGAATCCAGGCACTCTGATCTGAGACACAGGCATCTTAACTACTTGGCCAAATGCCAACTCCCCCCACCCTGTCTCCATATGCTTTAGATCCCCTCCAGATTATTTATAATACATAATACAATGCGAATACTATGTAAATAGTTGTTAATGTTGATTTAGTTAGGGAACAGTGACAAGAAAAATAAGGCTGGATATGTTTACTAAAAATATAATTGTATTTTTCCAAATAGTCTTAATTACAGTTGTTTGAGTCTGCAGTTGCAGAAACTAAGATAGGGAGTACCCCCTGTGCAGGTGTAGGAACTTAATCCCCAAGTGAAACCATACTGTCTTATGGGAAGGCAAAAGTAAGTTATAGCAATTTACTTAGGTGCTAAAGTGAATTTTGAAGAACTTGTTACACAAAGCATTTTCCAAATACAAATACAATTGAGCATGCTAGCAAAATGTAATAGTTATAGCTAAAATAAATGGGCACACGTGAACAATGCATAGAAAATTTTATGCTAATGACTTTTATTGAGGAAAAGAAACTATAGGTATTATCCTAATTGGATAATAATATATTTTATTTATTTTTTATTTGACAGAGTTAGACGGTGAGAGAGAGAGAAAGGTCTTCCTTCCATTGGTTCACTCCCCAAATGGCCACTACGACCAGAGCTGCGCCAATCCAAAGCAAGGAGCCAGGTGCTTCTTCCTGGTCTCCCATGCAGGTGCAGGGGCCCAAATACTTGTGCCATCCTCCACTGCCCTCCCAGGCCACAGCAGAGCTGGACTGGAAGAGGAACAACCGGGACTAGAACCCGGTGCCCATATGGGATGCCAGCGCCACAGGCGGAGGATTAACCAAGTGAGCCATGGTGCAAGCCCCGGGTAAATATATTTTTTAAAAAGACTTATTTATTTATTTGAAAGACCTACAGATAGAGAGGGGGAAAAACAAAGAGCAAGATCTTCCATCCTCTGGTTCACTTCTCAGATGGCCACAGCAGCTGGTGTCGGAGCAGATAGAAGGCACAGCTTTATCTGGGTCACCCATGTAGATGCAGGGCCCAAGTACTTGGGCCAGCCTCCACTGCTTTCTCAGGCCCATTAGCAGGAAGCTGGACTGGAAGTGCAGCAGCCAAGACTCTAACTGGCACCAATATGGGATTAGGCTTAACCCAATGACCAAGAGTGCCAGCTCCAATAATATAATTCTTAAGAATAATATGATTCTATTTTTCCTTTTGTCTTTCCTTGCTTCTCTCCTTCACTTCCTTCTCTTCATTTCAAAGAATTTGCACAAGCTTATAAAGAAGCTCCAGAAGTTTAGAAAGTAAGCTTTTCCTTGGGGCTGGCACCATGGTGCAGATCAATCCTCTGTCTGCGGCGCTGGCATCCCATATGGGCACCGGTTCTAGTCTCGGCTGCTCCTCTTCCAATCCAGCTCTCTGCTGTGGCCTGGAAAAGCAGTAAACAATGGCCCAAGTCCTTGGGCTCCTGCACCCACATGGAAGACCAGGAAGAAGCACCTGGCTCCTGGCTTCGAAGCGGTGTAGCTCCGGCAGCTCAGGCCGTTGTGGTCATTTGGGGAGAGAACCAATGGAAGGAAGACCTTTCTGTTTCTCCCTCTCACTGCCTGTAACTCTACCTCTCAAATAAATAAATAAAATCTTTAAGAAAAATAAGCTTATCCATGAGGACCAGCGATTTATGAAGAGAAAACACAAAAAGTCTGAGATTTTCGTTCATAAAGATCATTGATTTATATATCCAAACTACTTATACATAAAAGGAAAAAGCTACCGGAGTTTTGATTTTCAATTCCAAAGAGGAAAACCAGAACAATATTTTAATAATAAAAATTTTTCCTGTGATGCTGGCTGTTCCACTTCGGATCATATTCCCTGCTGACACTTGGGAAAGCAGTAGAAATGGCCCAAGTACTTGGGCTGTTGGCACCCATGTGGGAAACTTGCATGGAGTTCCCACCTGCTGACTTCAGCCTGGCCCAGCGCTGGCCATTGCAGCCATTTGGGGGAGTGAACCAGTGCATAGAAGATTTTTTTCTCTCTGTCTCACTTTCTGCAACTCTGCCTTTCAAATAAATTATTTTTTTTTAAAGTTTCCCTGCAACATCAGCAAATAAGCTCTACTTATTGTCCAGCAAACACTTATGGTTGACTGGCTGTTGATCCCAGGCTGAAGCTCAGCTCATGACAACCTCTTCAGTGGGGAAAGTGTATGAGTGCATGTCACCAAAACAAATTCTGTCTTATGAGAAAGATAATCATACCAAGGTAGAAAAAGCATCTTCAAATTTAAGGATATATGGAGGCATTATAATGCAAATGCCAGGCTCAAAAGCAAAATAAGGAGTGAATTATTAGAAATAAAAAAAATCAAAGTGAAAACAAAGCTTGAACAAGAGAACTAGAGGCAATAGTTGATAATAATTGAAATTCAGACCCATCTGCCAGCCTACCGTCCAACTAAATAGAAAATTATAACTGTGCTAGAAATCCAATTCCAGAAATAAGAGTTTGAGATGAGTATAATATTTGTATTAGTCAGCCATGTTCACAGGGAGGTCCTGTGGGCCATTATAGCTATCACACATTTATCTATTTGTAGGCATAATAAAAGATGCTTCACATCATTTGAAAGGATCCCAAATATTTAATCTCCATTATCTACATGTATTTAGAAACCATTAACTTGATCCATCTAAATAAGCAGATACATATGAAGAATATATTACAGGTTACAAATTAAGTATATATCTATTTCTTGTACATTATCATTATACTTTCAGTAGCGTTATTTTCTCTCTCAACTATGTTCTACTCAAGATCATAGAAAACAGAGCTTAGGATTCTGGAAGCCACACTAACTCCCAGAGGAGCTACTGAAGGCCATAAGGCATGTATTAGGAAGAATTTTTTAAATAAAAGACTTTCAAGGGATCAAATAATCAAATAGATGTTGATATTTTCTTGAAAGTCCAAAGAATATAATTTTTCTTACTCTGCTGATTATACAGGTTAGTTAAGGTATATTTCTATCACACATATAACAATTTTCTTATAGTCTATGGAATCAACAGTTCAATACAAAGGAGACAGATTCTAACTATTTGAGAAACAAATCCACAGAAAGTTTCAAGTTTTAAAATCATCTGTGCACCGGAAACCATTATATTTAGTGAAATAAGCCAGCCCCCCAAAAAACAAATACCATTTGTTCTCCTCTATCTGTAGTAACTAATTGAGTACCTAAAAGGTCATCTACAGAAGTGAAATTGACATTTATATGTGGTGATTTTAAACAGCCCTTGTCTCAACTGTTGAGGAACAACTTTTTTTTTTCATACTATCTGTTGAACTCTTCACTTAGTGTAGTGTTAACCTTATGTTTATAAAGTTAATTGAAAATAGATCTTTGTAAAAAAAATAAGAATAATAAGAATGGGAACAGAAAAGAAAAAGAAGGGTAGGAATGCAGGCAGGCGGGAGGGTAGGGTAGGAAGAATCACTATGTTCTTAAATCTGTATATATGAAATGTATGAAGTCTGTGTATCTTAAATAAAAGGTTTCTAGTTAAAATTAATTTGTGGTACCTCACTCATTTATTTATTAAAGAATTCTTTCGTTTCTTCTTTTTTTATCATTTATTTTTCATTTTTTAAAGTAACCAAATAATTACATGCCTAGGAAATTTTCTTGGAGGTAGGACTATGATTAAACAAATTTAAATACAGAACAACTGTTAATAATTGACTGTGATTTCATAGGTATAACATACATCTATAGAATATTATGTGTCCTTTCAAATAGTATTTTGGGTATAGAATAAAATTAGTCCTGCAAAAGATAATACTGAAAAATTAAATTGAAAATGAGGGGCTGGTACTGTGGCATAGCGAGTAAAGCCACTGTCTGCAGCACTGGCATCTCATGTGGAGGCCAGTTCAAGTCCCAGCTGCTCTACTTCCAATCCAGCTTTCTGCTATGGCCTGGGAAAGCAGTGGAAGATGGCCCAAGTCCTTGGGCCCCTGCACCTGCGTGAAAGACCTGGGGGAAGCTCCTGGCTTCAAATTGGTGCAGCTCTGGCTGTTGCAGCCATCTGGGGAGTGAACCAGCGGATGGAAGATCTCTTTCTCTCTTTCCCTGCCCTGTAACTCTGCCTTTCAAATAAATAAATCTTAAAAAAATAAATAAGAATGAAAGCATGTCATTCCAATAATCACTGAGCACTGATAGCCTACTGGGTTCTTGGTAAAAAGTAAAATAAATGGTTTGTAACTTGAACTTTAATTATATAAGGGACCTTTTAAAATTTCATGAGAAATGTGTATTATAAAAATTATGCATGATTTTAAATTTTATACTAAAATAAAGTTATCTTTTAATTCAATTTTCCACAAACTTTTTGAAGGTCCCTTGTATTAACATTGGAATTCTTTGCCTCAATTAAGTTAGAACACAATATTTTGAACGATCAGATTCTGTTTGTGAGCTGGTCACCAACACATAAAAACTTTTTAGCAGAAGGAAAATGCAGAACATGATTTAAGTAGAATTTCATGATTACATGTTCTGCTTTTAGCTTCTGCAGCAAGATAAGTTCTAGAGTATCCAAGCTTAGTTCATATTTGACTATGACTTGTTATAATTACTAATGAAATTTAAAACTACCAAGACATTGTCATAGCAAATGCAATTCAAAAAAGAGAAAATTAGCCTCAGAGTGATCCATAATTTGCACTTTTGATCTGCCTCACGCATGGCTTACAGACTAGAATGCTGTGAATGTATAACTCAGGGTATTATTTTAAGAAAGATGAAGGAGAACAATGAAACACGCTTTGGTAAGTTACCATAAACATACTATGTATATACATACATACAATCAGAACATGGAATCCAAAACAAAATACTCATATAACCAACACTTACTTTTCTGACTCCATGTGAGATGCTCCTCATACAAATAAATACCAACCTAAATGGTTTGCCTAAGCCATACTCTTGCATATCCAAATGTCTACTATGACTTTACTGAGACCCTTCCCCAGTCAATGACATCATCAGTCACCCAGTCTTGTCCACTAGACAATGACACTGTTATCCACAATCCTTCTCTGCTGGTCAGTTACTCCCAGCTGCCCTCATCTCCAGCCCCAGACGCTCAAGTCAGAACTCCTGGGGTTCCCCTGCAGCTCCTTTCCCTCATTCCTGACATCCAAAACCACCAATAAATGCTTCCCTCTTGATTCTGCCTTCCAAATGCAACCTGAGTAGCAATTATTCTCCATCTTATCTGCCATCACTCTAATTCTATAAAATACAAAACTATTCTTCGAGTCAAATCCTAGCTCTATTTCTTGATGGTTGAAAGCCCTGGAGAAGTAATTTAACCTTTATGTTTGTTTCAGATCCTCTAAGTGTTACAATACTATTAATAGCAACAACAGTTAAGAACAAAACTCTGTGATACATAGCCTTGCTATGCGTATCAGGCATTGTTCAGAGCATTCTGCACATTTTAACTCATTTCACAATGCGCTTTGAGGCAACAATGATGGGCGTAATTCAATAGCTGAGGGTACAGGCCGGCGCCACGGCTCACTAGGCTAATCCTCTGCCTACAGCGCCAGCACACCAGGTTCTAGTCCCGGTCGGGGCGCCGGATTCTGTCCCGGTTGCCCCTCTTCCAGTCCAGCTCTCTGCTGTGGCCAGGGAGTGCAGTGGAGGATGGCCCAAGTGCTTGGGCCCTGCACCCCATGGGAGACCAGGAGAAGCACCTGGCTCCTGGCTTCGGATCAGCCCAGTGCGCCGGCCACAGCGGCCATTGGAGGGTGAACCAACGGCAAAGGAAGACCTTTCTCTCTGTCTCTCTCTCACTGTCCACTCTGCCTGTCAATAAATAAATAAATAAATAAATAAATAAATAAATAAATAAATAGAGGGTATAAAGTCTCAGAGAAGTTCAGCACCTGCTTTGTTCTTTCTTTTTTTTTTTTTTTTTTTTTTTTGCTGTTTATTATCATTGATTTTTATTTACTTGAGAGGCAGAAAGACACTTTCCAAATGCCCACAACAGCCCCGGCTGGGCCAGGTCAAAGCCAGTTCCAGGACTCATTCCAGGTCTCCCTCAGGGGTGGCAGAAACCCAAGTTCTTGAGTCATTTACCCGCTATCTCCAGGTGTGGTCATTAGCAGGAAGCTGGAATTGGGAGCGGGAGCAGAACCAGAACCCAGACCTCAGCACCCTGACATGGTGTGCAGGCATCCCAAGTGGTGTGTTGACCACTGCACCAAAGGCCCCACCCCAGGAAGATTCCTTCATCGTGCTTCCCTTCCCCAAGTTTATATGCCAACAAATTCAGTCTCAAAGTTAATTTCATTTTATTTAGATGTAAAAGCTTAACACCTTTCTGAATATTTTAACATAATCAAAACCTTTAAGACTTGCATTTTTTTTTTTTATTTGACAGGCAGTTAGACAGTGAGAGAGAGACACATACACAGAAGAGACTTGGACCGGAAGAGGAGCAACCGGGACAGAATTAGACGCCCCAACCGGGACTAGAACCCGGAGTGCCGGTGCCACAGGCAGAGGATTAGCCTAGTGAACCGCAGCGCCGGCCAAGACTTGCATGTTTTAAGACATAGTGTATTTCATGAGCCAGTAGGTAAGTATATGGTTTTGCAGCTACATGGAGGCTTTATAAACCATTTTAATAAGAATGTATTTGACTCTCCAACAACAAAAAAAGCTATGCATGTGAATTAGCTCACTTTAGCCATCTTGCAATGTATGCAGGTCTCAAAACATGTTATGCACAATGAATATATATGATTTTTCTTTGTCAACGTAAAAATGACAAATGTGTATTTGAGGCTAATCGCATTAATAAGCGATTTTCAGTTTGCAGATGACATGTACAATCTTTATGGTGGGAACACCATGGTAGAGTTAGTGACTGTCAAATCATTTGACCTGTCCCTCGTGAGGAAGACAAGGACTATCCTTGAGACCGGACAAGAGGTGAGTATGTTTTTAGAACCTGCTTTAACTCTTATAAGCCTAACTTTGACAAGCAAATTCAATCCTGTATCTCCTGTGGCTGACATGAATGAGCAGCTAGTAAAACAGAAAAACAATTCCAGTTGAAACGAAGCTTTCTCATGCACATCTTGCCAGTGGTGGCCAGCTCTTTGGGGTTGTAATCAGACAATGCAAGAATTGGAGCTTGGGATAAAAATCAATCTTTCAAAGCCAAGAAGGCTGTGCAGAGACCAGGCTGCACAAGGAGACCTTGTGGGCTGTACGAGGGGGCCGTGTGGCTCTCCCGGCCTGTGGGCACTGCACTTCTGGGAGGCCCAGTGTCTGGGGCACAGGCTCATTTTCTGCCATCCTTTCTTGCACAACTCTGTATAATTTTGGTTGATTTCAACAGTCTCTTGGGGTGAATCTTGCTTTGATTTTAACATTTAGTGGGTCAGAGGCAAGGTTGGTACCCATGGAAAAACACGTGTGTACATATATATACATACAAACATACAGCTTCAGCACAACTCTATGGATGTGGTAGTGGAAAAGAGTATTGTGGGTACCAAACATCATGTAGTCAAGAACACTGTCTATCGTGAGCTTCGTCAGTCATTTATCCACACTCCCCACCTTGCCCAGGTACCCAGTCATTTATCCACACTCCCCCACTCTGCTCAGGTTTACTGATGGCAGAACGAAGGTCGAATTTGAACCCAAAAGTGTTGGTAACAGAAAGATAATATTAGGCTGAGACAGGACTGAAAAGTAATGTGATAGTTTAAAAAAAAATTAAGAGAGTTCTCATCTGCTTATTTGTTCCTCTAGAACAAGGAACTCAATCTGGGTCTCCCATGTGGGTTCCAGGACCCAACTTCTTAACCATCACATGCTGTTCCTAAGGGATACATTAGCAGGAAGCTGGGATCAGGAGTGGAGCAAGGACTTGAACACAAGCATTCCCATATGGGATGTGGGAATCCCAACGACTGCACAAAAGGCCCAGTCCATGACACATTTTTAGCCAGAGGCAAGTTAGTGGGCCACAGCCACTTTCAAAGACTCCTGGACACCAGGGGCTAGGGCACCCTCTATCCTCCAGCACCTCCTGCATGCTAAACCCAATTACCAATTGAAAATAATATAATGAATCAAAAATTTGACTTCTAGTGTTTGAATTTCAAGTTCTATTAACTCCTTGATTTTATTGAGATGTTTTCTCAACATTCCACTTCTAGTACCATGGAAGATTTCTGATCCCTGAGTTTGATTGCCTTGATTTTCTACAAATGTATGTTTGGAAGAAAAAGGACTTATAACCTCCCTCCATACGATACCCTGTTAATTATTATTAAATAGGCCTAGAGAATGGCTAAACACTCTTCAACAATGTTTACCTGGAAATTCAGTATTTGCTGAAGCCGTTCCTTCATCTGGTGACAACGCTGGTTCACGGCGGCATCTAGCAAAGACAACCTGCCCAAGAGACACCCCAAAGTGTCTTCAATGACATCTCGGTTATCGCCCTTCTCAGGAAAGGCCTGGGAAAACAAGTGTTTGTTCTTATCCATTTCTTCAGACATTTCCTTAATGTCTTTGGCAAGATTCTAGACAAAAGAAAAACCTCATGTCAATATCCATAATCTGATATGCAAATCAGGCCATCTCCTAACAGGAAGCCCACAAGATCTCTCTTATTAATCACAAACAATTATACTTAAGCCAGTTGAACGTCTCTCATCCTTACATTTTAGGCAAGTTGCTTTGGAAGATTTTTCCCAGTATTTCAGTATCTAATAACACAGCATGCAAAGTGCTATTTAGGAATCCAATATTTTTAAAGTCTTTGTTTCACATGTGAAGGAATTATAATATACAACAGTTTCCTACAAAGTTTTCCTTTTTTCTTCCTCTTACATATGTAAGAAATAAAAAGGCAAAATATAGCTATCTTAGAAAGCCTTTTGTTTTTATGTAATTCTTTTCTGCGTTAGATGCCTTGGAAACACATCTTTGTACTTTATGCTTAAATTTCTCGATACATAAAATTAGTTATCCAATACCAAAATCTCAAGTGCTTTCTTATGTCATACATCGCCACACTCACCTCTTGGTTGAAGAGGCACGTTTCCGTTTCCTCTGGCAGCAGTGCTGTGGCAACAAACAAACGCTCTTCCACATCATCCAGCCAAGTCGAGGTGGCTGAAACTCCATCGTACAACTTCTGTTCCAGGTGTATGTTCTGCTGTGTTGCTCCTCCACCCTGGAACACACACACACACACACACACACACACACACGGGTAAATAATCAATTATAGAGACTTGAGAACTCAGAATTATGAGGATGAGGCTCCAGGATCCAGTGGCTTTATGTTTCAAGGCTCATCACCTGTGCTGTGTGGGTCTCAACACACATGCGTAGGATGGAACAACTTCACAGACGCCAAGGAAACTCATGCAAAGTGACCTGGTCACACAGATAGCACAGCCCTACCTGGGAGGACACCTCCTCGAAGACCTGGCTCAGTCCACCCAGCAAAGACGTAACTGCGGCTTTATCTTGGGTCTGCCCATCCCCTTTGTACAGTGGCATGCCAGACAGGAGTCGGTTCGGTCTGCTGTAAAACTGTGGGGAAAATGGGGCAGTTTACTGAAGAGAACATGTGTCATGGTCACATTCCCTCATTTGAGCACATGGAAGGAGATCCTGGGAAAACCATCCTCACCAAAACTAGAGAAAGGTGACTTCTACACAACATACCAGGCCTACGGAACAGGGCAGCCAGATTCAATGATGCCAGTGTTTTCATAGATGGATTAAAAAAAAAAGTGGGAGAAGAAATGCCTGAGATATTTCCACAGCCACCCTCTCAACTTGTCTTCTCAGTTTGAGAGTCTCTACAGCGAATGCATGCATCCTGAAAACCATACCTAGATTAAACTCTAAGAATTAGGAACCTTTTCTCCCCTAATCTCTTGTAGGCATACACAAAATACCTCCCCAAGAAGGAACATGATACGGCCTGGTACTCACACTTTTTGATAATGTTCTTATCAAACTCAGGCCCTCTGATTGTTCACAATCACCTCAATCATCTCTCAGGCAAACTCCTCATCATCCTATAGTTCTCTGCATAGCTGGAATGTCCACCACACAGCCCACTTCTCTTTGAAAGTTGATACCTTACCTTCCACATCTACTAAACAGGCTTTCCACTTACCAAAAAAAAAAAAAAAGTTTCCTTTGAATTTCTGAGTAAAAGCCTATCATGATTGCTTCATTATTTAGAAATGTATGAAATATTTTTTAAAGATTTCATTTATTTATAGACAGGCAGAGTTAGAGAGAGAGGGAGAGAGAGTGAGAAAGGTCTTCCATCTGTTGGTTCACTCCCCAAATGGTCACAATTGCTGGAGCTGAGCCAATCCTAAGCCAGCAGCCAGGAGCTTCTTCCTGGTCTCCCACATGGGTGTAGGGACCCAAGCACTTGGGCCATCTTCCACTGCTTTCTCAGGCCATAAGCAGAGCTGGATCAGAAGTGGAGCAGCCAGGACACAAACGAGCACCCATATGGGATGTTGGCATGGCAAGCAGAGACTTAGCCTACTGTGCCACAGCAATGGCCCAAATTATTTCTTCAACTGGGTAATGAGTTCTCAGAACCAGGGCCATGGCTCATCCCCAAGCCACAGAAAGTTTTCTGCAGAGGCACTAAACACATTGGAAGTGAATGGGTGGAAGAAATTTGTCCTGATGCTCTTGGACCTAATTAACTACTCCACCCCCCAGGTTGTACCCTGCTTTTATACATGAGAGTAATAAATCTATCCAATGGACAAAATTGCCAGCAAGGTAATACGAGAAAGAAGGAACTCTGGAGTCAGATCTGAATCCCAACTCTACCTCTTCTTATGGTCCCATAACACTGAGAACATTATCTGGCCTCCCCAAGCGTTAGTTTACAGGCCTACAAAGTGGCGACATTGGTCTCACTTTGTTAGATATATTAAGAGCTGGAACACATAATATATTTATTACATAATCATTTGGGGTTTTTTCTTGGAAATTCTGACAAGTAAACAACTTCTACTCTATCTGCACCTCACCTTGAAAGGTGAACACCATATAGCAGAAAACAACCTAAGAGGCACTTCATATAAACAACGAATAATTCCTGAAAATATACACTCAAATGCAAAAAATGTTACTGCAAAAGGGTATTTGGTGCTTTCTACTTCTAAACTTAAAGGCAGTGAGAAATAAACATGAACCTAAACGTTTCCATCTAAGCACATGGGAGAATGTCAATGGCAGCTGGACAAGGTTAGGGCAGAAAGCACTGGACGGTGTGGGGACGCAGGCCCCAAGTGTAGAAGGAGCTCTCCAAGGTAAGAGCAGTGGAAGAAGCACCCAGGTGGTCTGCAGGTGCTGGATGCCTCAAGCAGGTGTCTTACCTTACATGAACAACCAGTGGAATCCTGGGGTTGGGCATCTCATGAATGAAGTATGCATGGAATAAGCACACATAGAATCCAGAAATGTCTCAGGTGTATCTGGTTTAGAATTTTCAGAAAACACCGTGGTCCCTGATCAGGACTGTACACAGTCTTTGTATTTGAAGGAAGGGGGGAAGCCAATACCAAGAAGATAACAAGCAGTCAAGTCCAGGACCTACATCAGCAATTGAAGACTCAAGCTATGGGTCTGAGGGATGTTTACTCAGATGAGTGAGGCAGGATTGATTCAAACTCAGGCAGGAGGTCCATTCAGCATTGGCATATGGCACCACTGGCCAGGTGGAGTCTGAATCTGAGGCAAGTGCCTCTAGGAAAGAGTGTGTTATATTTCCCACAGCCAGAGCTGGTGACAATTTCTGCAGAGAGTAATAAAGATGGCCCTGGCTGGCACTGCGGCTCACTAGGCTAATCCTCTGCCTTGCGGCGCCTGCACACCGCGTTCTAGTCCCAGTCGGGGCACCGGATTCTGTCCCGGTTGCCCCTCTTCCAGGCCAGCTCTCTGCTGTGGCCAGGAAGGCAGTGGAGGATGGCCCAAGTGCTTGGGCCCTGCACCCCATGGGAGACCAGGAGAAGCACCTGGCTCCTGCCATTGGATCAGCGCGGTGCGCCAGCCGCAACGTGCCGGCCGCGGCGGCCATTGGAGGGTGAGCCAACGGCAAAGAAAGACCTTTCTCTCTGTCTCTCTCTCTCACTGTCCACTCTGCCTGTCAAAAAAATAAAAGATGGCCCTGGATGCAGGGAGCATGGAAAGGCATGTAGTTTTGTAAAATGGGCTAGAAATGCAGGGCTTTGACAAGATTTCTGTGTGGGACCTCATAGTTGAGGGGACATATGGCAAACTTTAGACCTCTTTACAGCAAGTTCTGGAAGATTACATGTGCTTTGGTGCCTGCTTTAACAGTTCCTGTCTGCCCCTCCTTGAACGGACTACAATTAGTAAACACTACACTTCTCATTCAGCCGCTCTCAGCCACTAACCTGGTCCTGGCTAGTGCAGTGAGGATACCATCTTCTGCAGATCCCCAGTAAAGGGCCTAGAATTTACACCAGTGGAAAATTACTGTCCTGGAACAAGCCAGGATGGGCACTGCTGGCTCAGGATATGCGGCTAGGCTTTGGTTTCAGAATTGCTCGGGCCACAGCTGTGGTAGGCAACCCAGGCATGGTTTTGTTCCTGGCTCACGCATTAGCCCTCTAAAGTCTCTGATTCCTCTGATTTCAGTTGTCCCCTGGCTTCTGCTCAGGGTGAACTAATAGCAATTGTTTACCTGGAACCTTCTGTGGCTTTATCCACTTCCCCTGAATTTGGCATGCTTAGTGGAAATGAGCCCAACATCACACAATCTCCAGCCCAGGAACAAGTGGGTCAGTAACCTTTCTAGCTGACCACTGGCTTCCCTGCCATTGAGACCCACAGAGATCCCAGTATGTTTCTAATTAAGAGCCTCTAGAATTATTAAATACTGGACGTAGCCATGGAAAATAAGATGACTTGATCACTTAGCTCCAGACTTGCAGAATCCTTTTTGTCCTACACATGTATGTCCTTGATTCGCTTCCATAATTTTCAAGATTGTCAAAAAAAGAGGACACTGATAATTTAATGGTTTATGATAATGAAGAATCATATACTTTTCATCTTTCAGAAAAAATATGATCTACAAATGAAATAAAATTTCATATATAAATATATTCATAAAATTAAGGGAAATATGAAAAAAACCTTGGTAAGAAAATGTAGATTAACTAATTTCTTTCATGTCATAATTTGGAATTGATAATTAAAATATATATTTTATTCTTTTATTTTTTGTATTTGTTTATTTCATCGACTTGAAAGGCAGAGCAACAGAGAAAAAAGATTGAGATTAAGAGGGGGGAGGAAAGAGCAAAGAAACAGATTGATTCCATCACTAGTTCATTCCCCAAATGCCCACAGCTGAAAGTTCCAGGCCAAGCTGAATCCTGGAGTCCTCAGCTCCAACCAGGTCTCCCACATGGTGGCAGGGGCTCAAGCACTTGAGCTGTCACCTGCTGCCTCCCAGGGGCATTGGCAGGGAGCTGGAACAGAAGTGGATCAACTGGGACTGGAACCAGCACTTTGATATGAGACATCGGCATTCCAAGCAGCAGCATAACCTGCTGTGTCACAACACCCATTCATGTATGCATCTTTTATCTTAGTTAATATATAAATGCAAACTATTGGATACCAGTTGCTCTTGTTCCTGCTCCAGAACATTTTGTAGTAGCTTCTGCTTGGTGCTGAATTCTTGATGTAGGCTTTCCCATTTCATTCTCATCTGGTCTTCAGATGATTTCTCCCCTTCCATCCCCAATTCCTGGGATAACACATCAGGTTTTTCGCTATTAGAAGAATAAATAATCTAAGTTTACAATGTGTGCAAAAAAGCGATGAGATAAGTAATATATTGTGTATACTAGACCTGGCCTCCAAAATTGGGAGTCATTAGCTTACATTTTAAAAATAAGATAGAAATTTTGACACTAATTATGAAACAAGTATATTCTTACTCATATTTAATTAAACCACAGGCAGAATATTTTAAAATACATCCATAAAACCTCAGTACTAAATAAAAAATAATTGCAACATGAAAATTTAAAAGTATAGAATTAATTACAGGCTAATAGACATTGACAAGCAGCCAACAGATAAGTTCAACACTGTAACAAAGTTACTTAGTTTCCTGGAAGTTGTTAACAGTTCAGAACATGGAACAGGACAAGCATGGGTAAAACCCAGCAGTGTGACATCTCAGAAAGAGGAGGACTTTTAGAGTGACATAGATCTGGATGACAGTCGCTGCCATAACACTTTAGATTTGCAACACTGAGTAATTTGCTTCACTTCTCTGAGCTTCACTTTTCTTATCTTTTAAAAAGGAGGATCATCTGTTTTACAGATGAGCAAGAATAACATACAACATATGTGTGATGCCTGCAACCCTCCCTTGCAAACAACAGCCAATCAATAAACGTGGGTAAAGGAGAGTGGTAAAGGCAGCAATGACAATGGAGGGAACCTAAATTCCAATAGATCCTAATCCTTCAGGAGTTTTGCAGTCCTAACCAGAGCCATGTCATCTAAAAGCATATTAGATACTAATTAACATTTTGAAACAGGGCATTTTACTTAAATGGAAAAATAAATACCAAGTTTGTTGTTAGAACAATACTGTATCCTACCCCCAAGGCCTATCTTGTAGCCTACATATAAATAAAATAGTGTCTTTAGGTAAACCTCTTAGAGGAAGTCTTAAATTATCTATAAGCCTGGGATGCAGGGGTTGTACTTCCAGAACATTTAGGACTCCCTCCTATGTATTAGAGACATGTAAGAAAGTTAATTTCAACATATAGCAACAAGAAGAGGCAACACAAGGTAAATGTGATGTTTGCAACACAAAATACTATTAAGCAGTTAAACAACTAGACCTGTATGAATGGACATGACTCCATTTAAAAAAACTGTTGAGTGAAAAAAAAAATTCCCAAACAAAATTGACCTCTAACTGAGGGTTCATTATATTAGTTGCTAGGGTTTTCCTTTTTTAAAGTAAATCCTTTATAAATTAGAAAAAGTTTGTTTCTATGAAATTAAATTTCTTTATTGTGATTTTTATGTGGTGGTAGATTATAGCTCATTACTTTTAATTTGTTGATTCCAAAACTGTAATATTTACTATCTATGTTCTTATATGTAATCTTTGATGTATGTCAGACCAGCAGCAAATCAAATTTAAATTAGAACACTGCCTTCTGTTCCCCAGGGAAAATATTTTCCATTCTTTTGCTAAATGCCCAGTTGCTTTTCTTCAGTAGTTGGAAGGCCCACCGTCAGCGCTCCCCCCACCTTTGCACCCCATTCATCACAGAGGTAAATCTGTGAGTACTCTTATTTGAAGCAGGTCTTTCCACTCCCCCAAGGGTTTTCCTATACAAATCAATCCATATCTGATAATCTTAGAAAGTCAGTTAACAGGTTAAAGGCTTTTCCTTAGTGGTAAGTATGCTGGTGAAGACACCCATGGCCCATAGTTAAGGGCCTGGGTTAGGTTCCCAGCCTTGTTCCTTATTTCATCTTCCTGCTAATATAAATCCCAGGAAGCAATGATGATGATTTGAGAAGCTGGGTTCCTGCCACCCAAGTAGACTTGGATTCTTCCTGGCTCCCAGCTTTAGCCTGATCCAGGACCAGCTCTTGTGGGCATTTGAGATTTGGGAAGTTGTGGGGAGCAACCGGACTAGACTGAGTTACTGGAATTAAGACTTATTCTGTGCATCTGCTCTCCCACAATATGGCGCTGGGAGAGAAGTAAACAGCTTCCGCACAGCTGCCTCCAGTTCAACTAATAAACTGTAGGACTTGCTATTGATTGGAGGAGAGCAGCGTACTCGGCGTGTGGGCAGCCGAGTTAGGATTGGCGGAGGAGGACTATAAAGGAGGAGAGAGACGGCATGCACCAGGAACATCTAAGGGGAACATCTAGCTGAAGGAACACCTGTGCAGCCCCCCGAGAAAGCCGGCCGGCGGTGTGCCGCTCCCCTGCGGAAGTGGGGAATGTGGCCAGGGGGAACCGCCCTTCCACGGAGGTGGAAGGGACAGTAGCCAACCCGGGAAGAACCAGCAGCAAACCCGGGGAGGGCCGAGCAGACGAAAGAACAGCGCAGGGTCCTGTGTCGTTCCTCCACGAAGAGGGGGAGCGACATAATGGTGCCGTGACTCGGATATGAAGCCTAGGCAGGGCTTAGTGTCGTTCCTCCACGAAGAGGGGGAGCGACATAATGGTGCCGTGACTCGGATAGGGAACCCACGACGATACGCACACCTTACGACGGATAGGGAACTTAGGAGGGAAGAAA